GACAATGACGTGCAGCAGTAGGTGCCATGCCCTCTTGCATGGCTCGTGCGGTGGACGACGTGCGGTGTGTTGGGTGCACGTCGACGAGCTATTCTCCGAGGAGTACTGCCGAGTGGACTTGAGGGGGATCAAGCGTGAACGCGGCAGGGGAGTGTCAACGGGAGTTGTATGTTGGCCCCGTCCACGCTTGGGCGGAGCCGACATTGTGGTCGGGTGTTAGGGGAGCAGCCGACCTGCAGCAGTGGGCGAGCTGGTCGACGAGGAGGTCGACCTGCACGGGGACCACTGCACGGGCGCCGACTTCAGGGTGGCGCCGACTTCGGGGAGGTCGACTTCGGAGTCGACCTGCGAAGGACGTCAACTTGGTGACGTCGACTTGGGAAGCCGACTTCGGTGGTCGGCTGATGTGCTGGTCGACCTGCGGGTGGTCGACTGGACACGGTGGTCGACGAAGGAGGGGCCGACGTCGAGCAGTCGGACGTCGAGCAGTCGGCCGTCGAGTGACGCGGTCGTCGACCGAGGGGCGTGGTCGACCTGGTGAGGTCGACATCGAGGTGGTCGTTGACTTGGGAAGTCGACGGGCACGTACGGGAGTTGCTGGTCGATGTGGTTGCCCGGTCGACCAGGTTACCTGGGTGACGAAGTGCTGCGGAGGTATGCGATGGTCGCCCAGGCGAAGTTGGCGAGACCGACCTCGGTTATGGTATCCCGAGGTCGTCGTGGCAGATCAGAGGCAGCCGTCAGCCCGTGGCTGACGTGGTGTGTGTGCTGTGCAGGTGATGAGGCTCGGCATACCAATCATCTGCACGCACCTGCAAAGCGGGTGCACTGCTGGCACACCGTCGACCTGCAGCATTGGCAAGCTGTCGACTTTGTACTGCTGGAGCGCGGTCGACCAAGTCGTGTTGGAACGCGGTCGACCATGCTGTGCTGGCAGTTGACCAACCTGAATGCTAGCTCTGATGTAGTCTTGTATTGCCAACTTCATTGTACCATTGTTGTGATCTTTTCTTAGTGAAACTCTTGCCAAATTGCCCCGTGAACTAGCAAGCAGTGTGAGCACTAGGAAAACGTCTAAGGACCAACGAACGCAGACATCACACGAGCACACGTGCCTAGCCAGTACTCTAAGCTCCCGTTGTAGTAGTTATCTCCGCATGGACCAGGCAAGCTCCTAGACCAGGCAAGCTCCTAGACCAGGCAAGCTCCTGGACCAGGCACACACCAGGACAAGGCAAGCTCCTAGACCAGGCAAGCTCTTGAACCAGGCAAGCTCTTAAACCAGGCAAACTCGTGGACCAAGCATGCTACTAGATCGGGAAAGCCCCTTGACCAGGCAAGGTCTTAGACCACGCAAGCTCTTGGACCAGGCAGGCTTCTGGACCAAGCAAGCTCTTGGACCAGGCAAGCTCGTGGACCAGGCAAGCTCGTGGACCAGGCAAGCTCCTGGACCAGGCAAGCTCTTGGACCAGGCAAGCTCCTAGACCAGGCAAGCTCCTAGACCACGCACGCTCCTGGACCAGGCAAGCTCGTAGACCAGGCAAGCTCCTGGACCAGGCAAGCTCCTATACCAGGCAAACTCGTGGACCAAGCACGCTCTTGGACCAGGCAAGCTCCTGGACCAGGCAAGCTCCAGGACCAGGCAAGCTTCTGGACCAGGCAAGCTCCTCGACTAGGCAAGCTCCTAGACCAGGCAAGCTCCTGGATCCGGCACGCTCCTGGACCAGGCAAGCTCCTAGACTAGGCAAGCTCCTGGACCGGGCAAGCTCCTAAACAAGGCAAACTCGTGGACCAAGCAGGCTCTTGGACCAGGCAAGCTACTGGACCAGGCAAGCTCCTAGACCACGCAAGCTCTTGGACAAGGCAGGCTTCTGGACTAAGCAAGCTTCTGGACCAGGCAAGCTCATGGACCAGGCAAGCTCCTGGACCACGCAAGCTCCTGGACCAGGCAAGCTCCTGGACTTGGCATGCTTCTGGACCAGGCAAGCTCCTCGACCAGGCAAGCTCCTAGACGAGGCAAGCTCCTGGACCATGCAAGCTCGTGGACCAGGCATGCTTCGGGACGAGGCAAGCTCCTTGACCAGGCAAGCTCCTGGACTACACAAGCTCTTGGACCAGGCACGCTCCTGGACCACGCAAGCTCTTGGACCAGGCAGGTTTCTGGACCAAGCAAGCTCCTGGACCAGGCAAGCTTCTGGACCAGGCAAGCTCTTGGTCCAGCCAAGCTCTTGGACCAGGAAAGCTCCTGGACCAGGCAAGCTCCTTGACAAGGCAAGCTAACTGACCATGAAAGCTCCTGGACAAGGCAAGCTCCTGGACCAGGCAAGCTCCTGGACCAGGCAAGCTCCTGGACAAGGCAAGCTCCTGGACTAGGCACGCACCTGGACAAGGCAAGCTCCTAGACCAGGCAAGCTCTTGAACCAGGCAAGCTCCTAAACCAAGCAAACTCGTGGACCAAGCACGCTCCTGGACCGGGCAAGCTCCTTGACCAGGCAAGGTCCTAGACCACGCAAGCTCTTGGACCAGGCAGGCTTCTGGACCAAGCAAGCTCCTCGACCAGGCAAGCACGTGGACCGGGCAAGCTCCTGGACCATGCAAGCTCTTGGACCAGGCATGCTCATAGACCAGGCAAGCTCCTGGACCAGGCAAGCTCCTGCACCAGGCAAGCTCTTAGACCTGGCAGGCTTCTGGACCAAGCTAGCTCCTGGACCACGCACACTCCTGGACCAGGCACGCTCTTGGACAAGGCAAGCTCCTGGACCAGGCAAACTCATGGACCAGGCAAGCTTGTGGAACATGCAAGCTCCTGGACCAGGCAAGCTCCTGGACCAGGCAACCTAACGGACCAAGAAAGCTCCTAGACTAGGCAAGCTCCTAGACTAGGCAAGCTCCTGGACCAGGCAAGCTCCTAGACCACGCAAGCTCCTGGACCAAGCAAGCTCCTAAACCAGGCAATCTCGTGGACCAAGCACGCTCCTGGACCAGGCAAGCTCCTGGATCAGGCAAGCTCCTAGACCACGCAAGCTCTTGGACCAGGCAGGCTTCTGGACCAAGCAAGCCTCTGGACGAGGCAAGCTTCTGGATCAGGCAAGCTCCTGGACTAGGCAAGCTCCTGGACCAGGCAAGCTCTTGGACAAGGCACGCTCGTGGACCAGGCAAGGTCTTGGACTAGGCAGGCTTCTGGACCAAGCAAGGTCTTGGACTAGGCACACTCCTGGACAAAGCACGCTCCTAGACAAGGCAGGCTCCTTGACCAGGCAAGCTCGTGGAACATGCAAGCTCCTGGACCAGGCAAGCTCCTGGACGAGGCACGCTCCTACACCAGGCAAGCTCTTGGACCAGGCAGGCTTCTGGACCAAGCAAGGTTCTGGACCATGCACACTCCTGGACCAATCACGCTCCTGGACAAGGCAAGCTTCTAGACCAGGCAAGCTCCTGGAACATGCAAGCTCCTGGACCAGGCAAGCTCCTGGACGAGGCACGCTCCTGGACCAGGCAAGCTCCTGGACCTGGCAAGCTCTTGGACCAGGCAAGCTCCTTGACCAGGCAAGCTCCTAGACGAGGCAAGCTCGTGGACCAGGCAAGCTCCTGGACCAGGCAAGCTCGTGGACCGGGCATGCTCCTGGACCAGGCAAGCTCCTGGACCAGGCCAGCTCCTGGACAAGGCAAGCTCCTGGACCAGGCAAGCTCGTGGACCGGGCATGCTCCTGGACCAGGCAAGCTCCTGGACCAGGCAAGCTCCTGGACCACGCAACTGCTTGGACCAGGCACGCTCCTGGACCAGGCAAGCTCTTGGACCAGGCAGGCTTCTGGACGAAGCAAGCTCCTGGACCAGGCAAGCTCCTAGACCAAGCAAGCTCCTGACAAGGCAAGCTCCTGGAGTAGGCAAGCTCCTGGACCAGGCAAGCTCCTGGACGAGGCAAGCTCCTGGACCAGGCAAGCTCCTGGACTAGGCAAGCTCGTGGACCAGGCATGCTCCTGGACTAGGCAAGCTCCTGGACCAAGCAAGCTCATAGAGTACGCAAGCTCTTGGACCAAGCATGCTCCTGGACCAGGCAAGCTCTTGGACCAGGCACGCTTTTGGACCAAGCAAGCTCCTGGACCAGGCAAGCTCCTGGACCAGGCAAGCTCCTGGACCAGGCAAGCTCCTGGACTAGGGAAGCTCCTAGACCAGGCAAGCTCTTGTACAAGGCACGCTCCTGGTCCAGGCAAGGTCTTGGACTAGGCAGTCTTCTGGACCAAGCAAGGTCCTGGACCAGGCAAGCTCCTGGATAAGGCAAGCTCCTAGACCAGGCAAGCTTCAAGAACATGCAAGCTCCTGGACCAGGCAAGCTCCTAGACCAGGCACGCTCTTGGACCAGGCAAGCGTATCTTGTCTGGTCCAAGAGCGTGCCTAGTCCAAGAGCTTGCCCAGTCCAGGAGCTTGCTTGGTTTAGGAGCTTGCCTGGTCCAGGAGCTTGCCTGGTCGAAGAGCTTGCCTTGTCCAAGAGCTTGCCTTGTCCAAGAGCATGCTTAGTCCAAGAGCTTGCCTGGTCCAGGAGCTTGCCTCGTCAAGGAGCTTGCCTGGTCCAGGAGCTTGGCAAGTCCAGGAGCTTGCCTGGTTGAAGAGCTTACCTTGTCCAAGAGCTTGCCTGGTCTAGGAACTTGACTGGTCCAAGAGCTTGCCGGGTCCAGGAGCTTGTCTGGTCCAGGAGCTTGCCTGATCCAGGAGCTTGGCTGGTCCAGGAGCTTGCCTTGTCCAGGAGCTTGCTTGGTAGAGGAGCTTGCCTAGTCAAGGAGCTTGCTTGGTCTAGGAGCTTGCCTAGTCAAGGAGCTTGCCTGGTCCAGGAGTTTGCATGGTCCAGGAGCTTGCCTGGTCCAAGAGCTTGCGTGGTCCAGGAGCTTGCATGGTCCAGGAGCGTGCTTGGTCGAGGAGCTTGCCTGGTCCAAGAGCGTGCCTGGTCCACGAGCTTGCCTGGTCCAGGAGCCCTCCTGGTCCAAGAGCTTGCCTGTTCAGGAGCATGCGTGGTCCAGTAGCTTTCATCGTCCAGGCCCTTGCGTGGTCCAGGAGCGTGCCTGGTCCAGGATCTTGCCTTGTCTGGGATCTTGCCTGGTCCAGGAGCGTGCCTGGTCTAAGAGCTTCCCTGGTCCTGGAGCTTGCATGGTCTAGGAGTTTGCCTGGTGAAGGAGCTGGCCTGGTCAAGGAGCTTGCCTGGTCCAGGAGCGTGCCTCGTCCAGGATCTTGCTTGGTCCATGATCTTTCTTGATCCAGGAGCGTTCCTGGTCCCAGAGATTGGCTGATCCAGGATCTTGCCTGGTCCAAGAGCTTGCCTGGTCCAGGAGCTTGTCTAGTCTAAGAGCTTGCCTCGTCCAAGAGCATGCCTGGTCCAAGAGCTTGCCTGGTTCAGGAGCTTGCCTGGTCTAAGAGCTTGCCTGGTCCAGGAGCTGGCCTGGTCCAGGAGCATGCCTGGTCTAGGAGTGTGCCTGGTCCAGGAGCGTGTGTGGTCCAGGAGCTTGCCTTGCCCATGAGCTTGCTTGGTCCAGGAGCTTGCCTTCTCCAGGAGCTTGCCTTGTCCAAGAGCTTACCTGGTCCAAGAGCTTGCCTGGTCCAGGAGCATGCGTGCCTAGTTTAGGAGCATGCGTTCCATCACCCCGCCCCATTCTCCCTCTTTCCATCACCCCGGCCCATTCTCCTTCCTTTCATCACCCCGCCCTATTCTCCCGCTTTCCATCACCCCGCCCCATTCTCCCGCTTTCCATCACTCGGCCCCATCCTCCCGCTTTCCATCACACAACGCCCCATTCTCCCGCTTTCCATCACTCCGCCCCATTCTCCCGCTTTCCATCACCCCGCCCCATTCTCCCGCTTTCCATCACCCCGCCCAATTATCCCGCTTTCCATCACCCCTCCCCATTCTCCCTCCTTCCATCACCCCGCCCCATCCTCCCTTCTTCCATCACCCCTCCCCATTCTCCTGCTTTGAATCACCCCGCCCCATTCTCCCGCTTTCCATCACCCCGCCCCATTCTCCCGCTTTCCATCACCCCGCCCCATCCTCCCTCCTTCCATCACCCCGCCCCATTCTCCCTCCTTCCATCACCCCGCCCCATTCTCCCGCTTTCCGTCACCCTGCCCCATCCCCCCTCCTTCCATCACCCTGCCCCATTCTCCCGCTTTCAATCACCACGCCCCATTCTCCCGCTTTCAATCACCGCGCCCAATCTCCCGCTTTCCATCACCCCGCCCCATTCTCCCTCCTTCAATCACCCCGCCCCATTCTCCCTCCGTCCATCACCCCGCCACATTCTCCTGGTTTCCATCACCCCGCCCCATCCTCCCGCTTTCCATCACCCCGCCCCATTCTCACGCTTTCCTTCACCCCGCCCCATTCTCCCGCTTTCCATCACCCCGCCCCATTCTCCCGCCTTCCATCACCCCACCCCATTCTCTCGCTTTCCTTCACCCTGCCCCATTTTCCCGCTTTCCATCACCCCGCCCCATTCTCCTGCTTTCCATCACCCTGCCCCATTCTCCTGCTTTCCATCACCCCGCCCCATTCTCCCGCTTTCCATCACCCCGCCCCATTCTCCCGCTTTCCATCACCCCGCCTCATTCTCCCGCTTTCCATCACCCCGCCCCATTCTCCCTCCTTCCATCACCTCGCCCTAGTCTCCCTCCTTCCATCACCCCGCCCCATTCTCCCGCTTTCCATCACCCCGCCCCATTCTTCCACTTTCAATCACCCCGCCCCATTCTCCTGCTTTCCATCACCCCGCCCTATTCTCCCTCTTTCCATCAACCCGCCCCAATCTCCTTCCTTCCATCACCCCGCCCCATTCTCCCGCTTTCAATCACCTCGCCCCATTCTCCCGCTTTCCATCACCCCGCCCCATTCTCCCGCTTTCCATCACCCCGCCCCATTCTCCCGCTTTCCATCACCCCGCAAAATTATCCTGCTTTCCATCACCCCTCCCCATTCTCCCTCCTTCCATCACCCCGCCCCATCCTCCCTTCTTCCATCACCCCTCCCCATTCTCCTGCTCTGAATCACCCCGCCCCTTTCTCCCGCTTTCCATCACCCCGCCCCATTCTTCTGCTTTCCATCGCCCCGCCCCTTTCTACCTCCTTCCATCACCCCGCCCCATTCTCCCTCCTTCCATCACCCCGCCCCATTCTCCTGCTTTCCATCACCCCACCCCGTTCTCCCGCTTTCCATCACCCCACCCCATTCTCCCGCTTTTCATCACCCCGCCCCATTCTCCTGCTTTCCATCACCCCGGCCCATTCTCCTGCTTTCCATCACCCCGCCACATTCGCCCGCTTTCCATCACCCCGCCCCATCCTCCCGCTTTCCATCACCCCGCCCAATTCTCCCGCTTTCGATCACCCCGCCCCATTCTCCCGCTTTCCATCCCGTCGCCCCATTCTCCCGCTTTCCATCACCCCGCCCCATTCTCCCGCTTTCCATCACCCCGCCTCATTCTCCCGCTTTCCATCACCCCGCCCCATTCTCCCGCTTTCCATCACCCCGCCCCATCCTCCCGCTTTCCATCAACCCGCCCATTCTCCCGATTTCCATCACCCCGCCCGATTCCCCGGCTTTTCATCACCCCGCCCCATTCTCCCGCTTTCCATCACCCAGCCCCATTCTCCCGCTTTCCATCACCCCGCCCCATCCTCCCGCTTTCAATCACCCCGCCCTATTCTCCCGCTTTCAATCACCCCGCCCCATTCTCCTCCTTTCCATCACCTCGCCCCTTTCTCCCGCTTTCGATCACCCCGCCCCCTTCTCCCTCCTTCCATCACCCCGCCCCATTCTCCCGCTTTCCGTCACCCCGCCCCATCCTGCCTCCTTCCATCACCCCGCCCATACTCCCTCTTTCCATCACCCAGCCCCAACCTCCCGCTTTCCATCACCCCGCCCCATTCTCCCTCTTTCCATCACCCCGCCTTATTGTCCCTCCTTCCATCAACCCGCCCTATTCTCCCGCTCTCCATCACCCCGCCCCATCCTCCCGCTTTCCATCACCCCGCCCCATTCTCCCGCTTTTCATCACCCCGCCCCATTCTCCCGCTTTCCATTACCCCGCCCCATTCTCCCGCTTTCAATCACCCCGCCCCATTCTCCCGCCTTCCATCACTCCGCCCCATACTCCCGCTTTCCATCACCCCGCCCCATTCTCCCGCTTTCCATCACCCCGCCCCATTCTCTCGCTTTCCATCAACCCGCCTCATTCTTCTTCTTTCCAACACACTGCCCTATTCTCCCGCTTTCCAGCACCACACCCCATTCTCCCGCTTTCCATCACCCCACCCCATTCTCCCGCTTTCCAGCACCCTGCCCCAATCTCCCGCTTTCCATCACTCCGCCAGATTCTCCCGCTTCCCATCACCCCGCCCCATTCTCCCGCTTTCTATCACCCTGCCCCATTCTCCCTCTTTCCATCACCTCGCCCCATTCTCCCACTTTCCATCATCCGGCCCCATTCTACCGCTTTCCATCACCCCGCCTCATTCTCCCTCATTCTATCAACTCGCCCCATTCTCCCTCTTTCCATCACCCCACCCCATTCTCCCGCTTTCCATCATCCCGCCCCATTCTCCCTCTTTCCATCACCCCGCCCCATTCTCCCGCTTTCTAACACCCCGCCCCATTCTCCAGCTTTCAATAACCCCGCCCCATTCTCCCTCCTTCCATCACCCCGCCCCATTCTCCCGCTTTCCAGCACCCCGCCCCATTCTCCCGCTTTCCAGCATCCCGCCACATTCTCCCGCTTTCCTTCATCCTGCCCCTTCTCCCTCATTCCATCACCCCGCACCCTTCTCCCTCTTTCCTTCACTCTACCCCATTCTCCCGCTTTCCAGCACCCCACCACATTCTCCCGCTTTCCTTCACCCAGCCCCATTCTCCCGCTTTTCAACACCCCGCCCCATTCTCCCTTTTTCCATAACCCGCCCCATTCTCCCTCTCTCCATCACCCCGCCCCATTCTCCCGCTGTCCATCACCGCGCCCCATTCTCCCGCTTTCCAGCACCCCGCCCCATTCTCCCTCTTTCCATCACCACGCCCCATTCTCTCTCTTTCTATCACCCCGCCCCATTCTCCTCCTTTCTATCACCCCACCCCATTCTCCCGCTTTCCATCACCCCACCCCATTCCCCCTCCTTCCATCAACCCGCCCCATTCTCCCGCTTTCCATCAACTCGCCCATTCTCCCCCTTTCCATCACCCCGCCCCATTTTCCCGCTTTCCATCATCCCTCCCCATTCTCCTGCTTTCCATCACCTCGCCCCATTCTCCGTCTTTCCATCACCCCGCCCCATTCTCCCTCTTTCCATCACCCCGCCCCATTCTCACGCTTTCCATCACCCCGCCCCATTTTTCCACTTTCCATCACACCACCTCATTCTCCCGTTTTCCAGCACCCCGCCCTATTCTCCCACTTTCCACCACCCCGCCCCATTCTCCCGCTTTCCATCACCCCGCCCCATTCTCGCGCTTTCCATCAACCCGCCTCATTCTCCTACTTTCCAGCACACCACCCCATTCTCCCGCTTTCCAGCACCGCGCCCCATTCTCCCCCTTTCCATCCCCCCGCCCCATTCTCCCGCTTTCCAGCACCCCGCCCCATTCTCCCGCTTTCCATCACCCCGCCCAATTCTCCCGCTTTCCATCACCCCGCCCCATTCTCCCGCTTTCTATCACCCTGCCCCATTCTCCCTCTTTCTATCACCCCGCCTCATTCTCCCGCTTTCCATTATCGGGCCCCATTCTCCCGCTTTCCATCACCCCGCCCCATTCTCCTCATTCCATCACCTTGCCCCATTCTCCCTCTTTCCATCACCCCGCCCCATTCTCCCGCTTTCCAGCACCCCGCCACATTCTCCCGCTTTCCATCACCCCACCCCATTGTCCCGCTTTTCACCACCCCGCCCCATTCTCCCTGTTTCCATAACCACGCCCCATTCTCCCACTTTCCATCACCCCGCCCCATTCTCCCGATTTCCATCACCTCGCCCCATTCTCCGTCTTTCCACCACCCCGCCCCATTCTCCCGCTTTCCATCACCCCCCCCGATACTCCCGCTTTCCATCACCCCGCCCCATTCTCCCGCTTTCCATCATCCGGCCCCATTCTCCCGCTTTCCATCACCCCGCCCCATTCTCCCTCATTCCATCACCTTGCCCCATTCTCCCTCTATCCATCACCCGGCCCCATTCTCCCGCTTTCCATCATCCCGCCCCATTCCCCCTCTTTCCATCACCTCGCCCCATTCACCCGCTTTCGAACACCCCGCCTCATTCTCCCGCTTTCCGTCACCCCGCCCCATTCTCCCTCTTTCCATAACCCCACCCCATTCTCCCTCCTTCCATCACCCCGGCCCATTCTCCCGCTTTCCAGCACCTCGCCCCATTCTCCCGCTTTCTAGTATCCCGCCCCATTCTCCCGTTTTCCTTCACCCCGACCCATTCTCCCTCTTTCCATCACCCCGCCCCATTCTCCCGCTTTCCATCACCCCGCCACATTCTCCCGCTTTCCATCACCCCGCCCCATTCTCCCGCTTTTCAACACCCCGCCACATTCTCCCTGTTTCCATAACCCCGCCGCCTTCTCCCTCTTTCCATCACCCCGCCCCATTCTCCCGCTTTCCATCACCCCGCCGCATTCTCCCGCTGTCCATCACCGCGCCCTATTCTCCCGCTTTCCAGCACCCCGCCCCATTCTCCCTCTTTCCATCACCCCGCCCCATTCTCTCTCTTTCCATCACCGCGCTCCATTCTCCTCCTTTCTATCACCCCGCCCCATTCTCCCGCTTTCCATCACCTCGCCCCATTCTCCGTCTTTCCATCACCCCGCCCCATTCTCCCTCTTTCCATCAGCTCGCCCCATTCTCCCTCTTTCCATAACCCCACCCCATCCTCACGCTTTTCATCACCCCGCCCCATTCTCTCGCTTTCTATCACACCGCCTCATTCTCCCGCTTTCCAACACCCCGCCCTATTCTCCCGCTTTCCACCACCCCGCCCCATTCTCCCGCTTTCCATCACCCCGCCCCATTCTCCCGCTTTCAAGCATCCCGCCCCATTCTCCCGCTTTCCATCACCTCGCCCGTTTCTCCCGCTTTCCATTACCCCGCCCCATTCTCCCGCTTTCTACCACTCCAACCCATTCTCCCGCTTTCCATCACCCCGCCTCATTCTCCCTCTTTCCATCACCGCGCCCCATTCTCCCGCTTTCCAACACCCCGCCCCATTCTCCCGCTTTCCAACACCCCGCCCGATTCTCCCGCTTTCCATCACCCCGCCCTATTCTCCCGCTTTCTATCACCCCGCCCGATTCTCCCGCTTTCCATCTCCCCTCCCCATTCCATTCTTTCCATAACCCCGCCCCATTCTCGCGCTTTCCATCACCCCGCCCCATTCTCCCGGTTTCCATCACCCCGCCCCATTGCTGGCTTGGAAATAGGCCCAGACAAGCGCAGCCGTGTTACCGGGCGGAAGAAAAACGGTCGGAACGAATGCTTCCAGCCCTAAAACGCTGAAGGATCCGCACATGTGAGGGAAGTGCAGCGGGCGCTCTTCATTCGCGAGCGCCGATGACAGATGATGCTTGCAACGCTCCAACGCTCTTGCTGGCTTGGCAATACCGTAAGCCCCCGGATAGAATTGCAGGCCTCGGATAAGCGCCGGCGCTTATAAAAGGATGAGGGCGCTTATATCCGGTCCTCGATTATAAGCGCACACCTGAAGGCTTACGGATTATAAGTACCACCCTCTTCTTTTTTATTATAATTTTACTGAAATCGTTGTAACGAAACTCAATATTTTCATTCCCACATTTTGAATTTCAATGCCCCCTCACCCTCGCCCGGCTCACTGGCAACGCGTCCAGTCAGAATGAGCTGACAATGGCGCACGTTGACTCATTCTGCCTGTGTGTGTTGGCAGGGAATCAATCCCTACCAACTTGCACGCGAGATTCTCAATCACAGCCTTGTACAGTATTGTTTCACATTCTGACTGTGTGTGTTGGCAGGGAATCAATCCCTGCCAACTTGCACGCGAGATTCTCAATCGAGCCCTGTATAGTTTCGACTCGATTCAATTCGCAAGAATGGGATCTGCAGTTTGGTGGAAAAACGACGAATTTCATATATGCTATTATATAAGCACCGTCGCTTATAAAAATCCTCAATTATAAGCGCACTCCCTAAAAAAACGTGTTTTTTTTTATAACCCCAGGGGCGCTTGTATCCGGGGGCTGATGTGAAGCAAGGAAAACAGGAATGAGAATGACTAAGTCAGAGTTGGGTACAAATACAACCCTAGAAAGCTGTACCCCATATGTGCTACCCCACTATAGCCTACAAACATGCATCAGCTATAATACTCTGACACACCCCCATAGGCAAAGTGGGGGAGAACAAGGGGTCACAAGACCAGTCAAGCAAAGCAAAGCAAGCTCAGGGTGGATCACAAAGTCACCACACAGTCCGAGCACAAGAGCAGGGCCAGAGGCCAGTTCACATGCAGGAGTACAGACATATATATAAAACTAGACAAGCAAGAGCAGGTATATATATATGTCACAGTACAAGTGAAGTCAAGAGGAGAGCAAGTGAGGCAAGACAGGCACAAGACCCAGCTGGGTGCAAAAGCGCTGATGGTCACAAGGCGCGAGTGCCTTGGTGAACACATCAGCAGTGTTGGCCTCAGAGGCCACGTACGCAAGTCGCAACTGACCACGCTGCTGCAGCTCACGAGCAAGGAAGTAGCGGAGAGCAATGTGCTTCGTTCTGTGCTCCAAGCGCTGCTCTCGACACAAGGCCAGCATGGCCTTGTTGTCTACGTACAGCACTGGAGGAGAACGAGGCGGCTCTCCAAGGTCAGTCAGCAGGTAGGTGAGCCAGCGAAGCTCCTGTGCAGCCATGGCCCCGGCGTAGATCTCAGCCTCACAACTGGAGCCGAGAACCGAAGACGAGCGAGTAGACCGCCACGAGACAGAGCCGGAACCAAGGCTGAAGGTGTAACCCTGTGACGACCGCTGCGTAGCCTGGTCGTCAGCCCAAGAAGCGTCCGCGTGGCCGGTAAGGACCACTGGACTCCGCCCTCCAAGCACTAGCCCCATGCCCGACGTGCTGCACAAGTAGCGCAATACCCTCTTCGCTGCAGCCATGTGCTCCGGTCTGTGTCTCCCAGGAGCAACATAGCGAGCAAGAATGCTCAGAGGGTATGCAAGGTCAGGTCGTGTGCAGGTCATCAGGTACATGAGGCAGCCAACAAGCTCTGCATACGGACCACTCGACTCTACGGACTCATCCGAAGGCAGAGCTGAGAGTGAATGGCGAGTAGGCAGAGGAGTGGCCTGAGGCGAGGAGTACGTGAAGCCGAAGCGCTGAAGGACCTGCTGCACCATGTGTGACTGAGTCAAGGTAATGGTGCGGCGTGCTCTGTCCCGAGTGATCTGCAAGCCAAGGTAGCTGCGCAGTTCACCCAGGTCTGTGCACGTGTGTCTCTTCAGCAGCTCGGACTTCACGTAGGCGAGTCCAGCAGTGTCTGCTGTGGCAAAGACCAAGTCGTCGACGTACACGAGGATGTAGAACGGCGGCAGGGAAGTGTCGGTGCGAAGAAACAGCGACGGGTCAGCAGTAGAAGGAGCAAACCCAAGAGCCGCAAGCGTAGTCCTCAGTGTGTCGTGCCACTCACGCGGTGCCTGGCGGAGACCGTAGACTGGTCGTCGGAGGCTCCACTGGGTGCCAGGAGGGAAAGTCCCAGTGAAGCCAGGTGGACGGCGAAGCCAGATCTCCTCGTGCAGGCTACCCTGCAAGAACGCCGTGCTGAAGTCGAGAGAGTGAAGCTCGTAGTCGCGCTGAGCGGCTATGTGCAGCAGCACCCGAAGAGTAGTCATCTTCGGGGTGGGAGAGAAGGTCTGAAAGTAGTCAACTCCCTGCCGCTGACTGAAGCCACGACCAACGTACCGTGCCTTGAAGACAGGTGGAGAGCCCGGCGGCCGCTTCACCCTGAAGATCCACATGCCACTGACGATGTTAGCCCCAGGAGGGGGAACCGCGTCAACGTAGGTGCCTGTGGACTTCCAGGAAGCCATCTCTGCATCCATAGCTGCCTGCCACTGAGAGGAGTAGGGACCCTCTACGGCCTCCGCGTAAGAACGCGGAGTCGGGATGTCTAGTGCATCCGGGTCTCCCTCAGGGGCAAGCAGTACAGACGCGAGATGAGGTGAAGCAGCCGCTAGACACTGTAACTCCTCCTGCCTGTCCTCTAGGACGTCCGTGCCAAGAGCACACTCACCCCCGACGGACGGAGGACAGACAGACGCAGACTCAGCAACAAGACTAGCAGCGTAGTCGAGACGACAGCGAGCAGCAAAGTCGACGAGCTCAGCGACTAGAGCAGACGCAGCAGTGGACTCAAAAGAGGGGTCAGTGACGACAGTAGCAAGCAGACGCGTGACAGTAGGACTGGCAGCACGAAGAGAGTCCGACCCAGGGTCGGCAAGCGCAGGAAGAGAGGACTCAGGAGGAGAAGGCAAAGGGGCACGCAGAGGAGCAGTGGACGGACGCAAAGACATCCGGTGCGTGCCAGGGACAGGAGGAGGACGCGGACGCGAACTGCGACCACTAGCGCGAGCAGTGCGAACAGGCGACGCGGGACGAGACGCAGGCTCACGACGCTCAGCAAGACCTCCAGTAGGACCAGTGTAAGGAGAGGGAGCAGGGAGTGGAGAGGAAGGCTCCAGCAGGGACTGCGACTGGACAGGCGGTGGACCCTCTACTGGAGGAGAAAGACCAAGAACCTGCTGCAGGAGCGGAACGAAGTACGGCCGAGGCCGCGCGGCAGCTCCAGACGCAGCAGGGACAGCACCAGCACCCTCAGCGACAGCACCAGCGCCACCCACACCTCCGGCGGCAGGACCAACAGCAGTAGGCTCAGCACCAGCGCCCTCAGCAGCTCCAGCTCCAGGAGGACCCGCAGGTCCAGCAGCTCCGGGACCGGCAGCACCCGCACCCTCGACGGTCGAAGAAGCTCCAGCTCCAGCTCCAGCAGCACCTCCAGACTCAGCAGCACGCCTCCAGCGGCGAGCGAACCACTCGCGCAGCTCCTGTGGAGAGAGGGGCTCCCGGCGAGACGCAGCAGCAGGAGAAACTCCAGGCTCAGCAGCTCCAGACGCAGCACCCCCAGGCTCAGCAGCTCCCAGCTCAGCACCCCCAGGCTCAGCAGCTCCCGACCCAGCACCCCCAGACCCAGCACCTCCAGGCACAGCACCCCCCGGCTCAGCACCCCCAGGCTCCGCACCCTCCGCAGTAGCACCCTCAGGCCCAGCACCCCCAGCAGTAGCACCCCCAGGCTCAGCACCCCCGCGCACAGCACCCCCAGAGTCAGCACCCCCAGGCTCAGCACCCGCAGCAGCACCAGAGTCACCAGTAACCTCGACCGGGTCAACGGCGTCTACCTGGGACACACCTGAGGGGGCAGGAACCTGAGGGGGGAGGGGGTCTACCGGGGGGGGAACCGGCACAAGGAAGTCCGGGGGAGGGGGGAGGGAAGGAGTGCGGTAGGGGAAGAGACGGTAGAAGGGGACTGACTCGTCGAACGTGACGTCCTGGGAGGACAGAACACGACGAGAGGAGGGGTGGTAAAACTGCCACCCTGGGGCATCAGTGGGGAAGCCAAGGAAGACACAGGGAGCAGCACGAGGGGACAGCTTGTCCGCAGACAAGTCGCGGACAAACGCCCGAGATCCCCAGACACGGAACACAGACGCATCGCCAACCTTCCCCGTCCACAGCAAGGCTGGGGACATCGCAGGCCGAGAGACCCGGGGGTGAAGGTTGAGCTGATGCGCCGCGTACCTCACCGCAAACGGCCACAGAAAATTGGGGGCAGCCGCATGCATCATGGACGTACGAGCGACATCCATGACCATACCAATGCGGCGCTCAGCAATCCCATTTTGCTGTGGTGAGTCCGGAAGCGTGAAGGTCTGGCGGATCCCCTGTGCACGACAGTAGTCCCGCAGAAGGCGAGAAGAGAACTCTCCGCCTCTGTCAGAGTGCAGACGCAGAACAGGAAAGTCCGAGCCGAAGCTCTTCCTGAGCTGGAGACGAGCCTCGCGGATCCAGTCGATCAGCACCTCAGTGACCGCACCCTTGCTGCGCAAGGGGAGGACTGTGGTGTAACGCGAGTAGTCGTCAACCACCAACAGGAAGTAGCGCTCGTAACCCTGCCCACGGACGGGGGCTGGGCCCCACACATCCATGTGAAGCGTCTGCAGGGGAGCCTCTGTCGGGGGGAAGTGGGAGGAGTGAGGAGTAGCCCGGAGGCGACCCTCGACACAGGGGACACAGGAAGGTCCTGGCCCGGAGGGGAGAGGAGGGAGAGACTTGGGAAGACCAGAGACAAGGACACGGGAAGCCATGCTCCGAAGACGGGGCAAGGAGGGGTGGCCAAGACGGTGGTGCCACAGGAGAGTCTCGTGAGACAGGAGGCGACAAGAACAGGGGGCAGACTCAGGACCTGACCGGGACGCAGCAGCAAGCACCTGACCCGACGCAGCCACCTGACCAGACGCAGGGACAGGAGGAGACTCAACGGTCAGGGTGTAGAGACTCGACCCCGGCCGACGCGAGAACGTGGCCAGGTGTCGGCCTGTGCGTGCCTCCGTGCAGTGGGTCACCCGCTGACTCGCAGGAGTGAACTGGTGAACCCCCACATCCTGCAGGTCCGCTCCACTCACCAAGTTCGTAGAGAACGAGGGAAGGTACAGACCCGACAGGGAGCCCGAAGGGGCAGCCGGACACGGGAGAACAGTGGAGAAGTGAGACAGGACAGGACCCCCAGAGGGGTTAGCAAGGGAGACCGCAACCGGCCGGCCGAGCGGCGTAAGGGTAGTGCGGTCTCGAAAGAAGGAGCGAGAAGCTCCGGAGTCAAGTGTGAAAGTGAGGGAGGACGAGGACGACGCAGTACCTGAGAGCGCAGTCTCACCAGTACCTGAGAGCACAGACGCACTGGCACCTAGAGCAGCAGCCTCACAAGCACCTAGCGCAGCAGTACCAATGCCCGGGTCGGGCTGGAAACAACGGTAACCCTCATTCTCCTCACTATAATCCACAACATACATAGCAGCAAGGATAGCATCAAAATCAAGATCAAAGATCGCTACACCAGCCCTGAGAAGCTCATCCCAGCGAGGGATCTCACTAGCCCCAGGGAACTGCTGACGCCAAGCGTCCGTCAGGTGGCCAAAGCAGCGCTGGGTGGCGTGGGCACCCCCACACTGCTCACCCGCGCGGTCGCCGGAACGAAGAACGTAGGTGCAGGGACCAGTACCCCCACCCCTCTGACGCCCAGCGTACCACTCACGAAGCTGCTGAGGCGGAGGGATGTCCCGCGAGCGCTGCTGCTGCTGCTGCCGCTGCGAGCGCTGGCCACCACCACCGCCGCTACGCTGCTGGGTACCACCTCGACCAGCTCCACCTCCTCCACCACCACCGCCTCCTCCGCTGCCGCCTCCACCGCCTCCACCTCCGCCGCCTCCACCACCGCCGCTGCCTCCACCACCACCGCTGGCACCACCACCACCGTCTCCGCCACTGCTGCCACCACCACCACCACCTCCACCACTAGTCCCGCCGCCACCCCCACTCCCTCCGCCGCCACCGCCGCCACCGCCACCGCCCCCTCCAGCTCCACCCGCGCCCTTGCCCCCCTTGCCCTTGCTGGAGCGACGTCTCCCACTAGGGGCAGACGCCGCGCCGACCGACTCAAGACCAAGCAGGTCGGCAGCAGCAGCAGAGGCAACAGAGGGCAGCAAGGGGGAAGGAGAGCACCCCTCAAAGATGGGGGTGCGAGGGTCACCACGAGAAGCACCTACAGCGACTATGCTCTTCTCCGCTGCGAGGAGGGCCTTCTCGAGGAGGTCGTCGGTGAGGGTGGTGGGACAGACTGCGAGAAAGTGGTCCCTGACGACGCGAAGGGAGTCAGGGAGGCGCGCGACTACGTACTAGAGAGCGATGTACATGGGGGGGGGGTTCTTAGCGCAGAACTCAGCAGGAAGGGCGGCGCGGTAGCGAGTGTCACTAGTGCGGAGGTGCGTAATGAGGTCAGCGACAGTGGGAAAGGCAGAGAGGTCAGGAAAGAGGTAGGGAAGCATGAGACGGCTCAGTGCAGCAGTGGCAGGGGAGGAGTAGCGCGCAACTACAGCGTCGTACAAGGTCTGAGCACTCTTGTACTGACTAAAGTGCGCACGCTCAGAGGTAGGGAGGTGGCGACGCACAGCAAGACGTGCAGCAGCATCGCGGGTGGCCCACTTAGAGCGGACAGCGGGATCAGCATCAGCAGCAGGAGCAGGAGAGGCGCCAGAGGTGAGGTCAAAGAGAGAAAGGTCGTCAGCCCTGTCGCACTGTAAGAACAGCTGCAGGTCGTCTAACCAGACCTCAAAATCAATGGCGCGACCCTCAGCGTCAAAAGCTAGGACACTAGGGGTAGCCATGGCGACGACAGCGACGCAGTGCAAGCAGTAGGGAAAGAGCTCGCAGTGTCAGTGGGACTGTGCTCACCAGGCAGGGCAGGTCGTGCAGCTATGCAGAAAGGCAGCTCAGCGACCGGGCGGCTCGGGTGCACAGCGGCTCGGCTCCCGGGCGGCTCGGCGGCTGGGCGGCTCGGGCGCAGGGCGGCTCGGCTCCCGGGCGGCTCGGCGGCTGGGCGGCTCAGGTGCAGGGCGGCTCGGCTCCCGGGCGGCTCGGCGGCAGGGCGGCTCGGGTCCCGGGCGGCTCGGCGTTGGGCGGCTCGGCTCCCGGGCGGTTCGGCTGCTGGGGCGGCTCGGCCGGGAGATGCAGGGGCGGGGCCGTCAGGTGCAGCGGCGGGTCGACCGGTGCAGTGGCGGGCCGGCAGGTGCAGCGGCGGGCCGGCAGGTGCAGCGGCGGGCCGGCAGGTGCAGCGGCGGGCCGGCAGGTGCAGGCAGCGGGCCGTAGGGTGCAGCGGCGGGCCGTAGGGTGCAGCGGCGGGCCGGCAGGTGCAGCGGCGGGGCCGTCAGGTGAAGCGGCGGGCCGCTGGGTGCAGCGGCGGGCCGGCAGGTGCAGCGGCGGGCCGGCAGGAGCAGCGGCGGGCCGGCAGGAGCAGCGGCGGGGCCGTCAGGTGAGGCGGCGGGCCGGCAGGAGCAGCGGCGGGCCGTAGGGTGCAGCGGCGGGGCCGTCAGAGGCGGCGGGCCGTAGGGTGCAGCGGCGGGCCGTAGGGTGCAGCGGCGGGGCCGTCAGAGGCGGCGGCGGAGCCGCGGCAGTAGAGGCGGGGCCGCGTCAGGGGAGGCGGCGGGGCCGCGTCAGGGGAGGCGGCGGGGCCGCGTCAGGGGAGGCGGCGGGGCCGCGTCAGGGGAGGCGGCGGGGCCGCGTCAGGGGAGGCGGCGGGGCCGCGTCAGGGGAGGCGGCGGGGCCGCGTCAAGCAGGCGGCGGGGCCGCGATCAGGAGAGGTGGCGGGGCCGCGTCTGAGGGACAGCGGGGCCGCGAGGGAAAAGGCGACCCGAGGGGTCGCTAAAAAAAAAGGGCGCGCCTCGGGGCGCGCTTCGGTGGGCCCTAAAAAAAACGGTCCTAAGGCAGGACCCGCTCTATACCATGTGAAGCAAGGAAAACAGGAATGAGAATGACTAAGTCAGAGTTGGGTACAAATACAACCCTAGAAAGCTGTACCCCATATGTGCTACCCCACTATAGCCTACAAACATGCATCAGCTATAATACTCTGACAGCTGACGGTAGGCCCTGACAAGCGCAACCAAGTGACCAGGCAAAAGAAATACACTTGGATTGAGCGCTTCTAGCCCCAAATCGCGGAAGGATCCGCACATGTAAGGGAAGTGCAGCGAGCGCCGATGACCGATGACGCTCGCAACCCTCTTACGCCGTTGCTGGCTTGGCAATAGGCCCAGACGAGTGCAGCCACGGGACCTGTCGGAAGAAAAACGCTCGGAACGAGCTCTTCCAGCCCCAAAACGCGGACGGATCCGCATATATGCAGGAAGTGCAGCAGACGCCAGGGCCTCAGAAGTCGGCGAAAAAAGGCTGATTTATGTAAAAAAAGGCTGAGATTTCAGACCTTTCTTAGAGCTGAGGCTGCTTTTTCAGCGACTTGTTGAAATGAAACAGGAAATGCTAATAGATTTTTAGTGAAAAATGGCATAAAATGGCTGATTTCTCTGATTTACAGCAAAACGTTTTGTACCAACTCTGATTTTTCAGTCTAGGCCAAAACGAATCTGAGGCCCTGGCGGACGCTCTTCATTCGCGAGCGTCAATTACCGATGATGCTTGCAACCATCCTACGCTCTTGCTGGCTTGGCAATAGGCCAAGCCAAACGCAGCCGCGTGACCCGGCGGAAGAAATACGCTTGGAACGAGCGCTTCCTGCCCCAAAACGCGGAAGGATCCGCACATGTGCAGGAAGTGCAGCGGGCGCTCTTCATTCGCGAGCGCTTATGACCAATGATGCTCGCAACCCTCCCGAGCTGAAATTGCTCTGATCCATTAAGCGCCCTCAAATCCTAGCGACGACCCTGGTCATGATTCGTTTTGGGCCACCCTGTCAAATCAAAGCTCGGGAGGGTTGCGAGCCCTCCAGAGCAATTTCAGCTCGGGAGGGTTGCGAGCCCTCCAGAGCCCTCCAGGGTTGCGGAATGGTTGCGAGCCCTGTATCAGAACCTGATTAAGACCCCTGGTTGGCACAGAAGAAGGGGCTGAGAATTTTGGGTTACCGGTACTCCCAAATTTCAAATGAGCAAATCAAAGGCATTTCACCAAAATATAAAGTAGGTGTTCTGCATCATCCCACATCTGGTACCTATCACCTTGTTGGGCTGAAAATCCCTAGGATCTTTATAGAGTTAAAGGCTGAGTAGGATTGTAATAGCGGAAGCGTTAAATAAGAGATCTTGAACCACCTTGCGCTGGTATGTGAGGGCAAAGTAAAGTTGATTAAAACAAACAAGTACAAGGCTTTATATAAGAATACAAGGAATACGAATAGATGGGATAACTGTTTTGCTGTTGCGATTCGATACAGTGCGACTCGGGCAACTGCTCAATGTCGAGTCAGTTGTGTGTCCTTGCTGTCGCGCGACTCGGGCAACTGTGAGAAAGTGTGAACGAGAATGAATGACTATGAAGTGAAGTGAATACAAATAGGAAACCCTAATTGTGTTGTACCCCCTATGGGATACCCCACTATAGCCTACAGAAACAAGTAAGCTATATGTTCTGACACACCCCCATAGGCAAAGTGGGGGAGAACAAGGGGTCACAAGACCAGTCAAGCAAAGCAAAGCAAAGCTCAGGGTGGATCACAAAGTCACCACGCATTCCGAGCACAAGTTCAAAGGCCAGAAGGCCAGTTCACATGAAAGATCATATATAGAGATATACAAGAGTCAAGCAAGCAAGAGCAAGAGTATATATAGGCGAAGGTACAAGCAAGGTCAGGAGGAGAGCAAGTGAGGCAAGACAGGCACAAGACCCAACTGCGTGCAACAACGCTGATGATCACAAGGCGCAAGTGCCTTGGTGAAGACATCAGCAGTGTTGGCCTCAGAGGCCACGTACGCAAGTCGCAACTGTCCACGCTGCTGTAGCTCACGAGCAAGAAAGTAGCGGAGAGCAATGTGCTTCGTTCTGTGCTCCAGTCGCTGCTCTCGACACAAGGCCAGCATGGCCTTGTTGTCTACGTACAGCACTGGAGGAGAACGAGGCTGCTCTCCAAGGTCGGTCAGCAGGTAGGTGAGCCAGCGTAACTCCTGTGCAGCCATAGCCCCAGCGTAGATCTCAGCCTCACAACTGGAGCCGAGAACAGAAGACGAGCGGGTAGCCCGCCACGAGACAGAGCCGGAACCAAGGCTGAAGGTGTAACCCTGTGACGACCGCTGCGTAGCCTGGTCGTCAGCCCAAGAAGCGTCTGCGTGCCCAGTGAGGACCACTGGACTCCGCCCTCCAAGCACTAGCCCCATGCCCGACGTACTGCACAAGTAGCGCAACACCCTCTTCGCTGCAGCCATGTGCTCTGGTCGGTGTCTCCCAGGAGCAACAAAGCGTGCGAGAATGCTAAGAGGGTATGCGAGGTCAGGTCGTGTGCAGGTCATCAGGTACATGAGGCAGCCAACAAGCTCTGCAAATGGGCCACTCGACTCTACGGACTCATCCGAAGGCAGAGCTGAGAGCGAGTGGCGAGTAGGCAGAGGAGTGGCCTGAGGCGAGGAGTACGTGAAGCCGAAGCGCTGAAGGACCTGCTGCACCATGTGTGACTGAGTCAGGGTAATGGTGCGGCGTGCTCTGTCCCGGGTGATCTGCAAGCCAAGGTAGCTGCGCAGTTCACCCAGGTCAGTGCATGTGTGTCTCTTCTGCAGCTCGGACTTCACGTAGGCGAGTCCAGTAGTGTCAGCTGTGGCAAAGACCAAGTCGTCGACGTACACGAGGATGTAGAACGGCGGCAGAGAGGTGTCGGTGCGCAGAAACAGCGACGGGTCGGCAGTAGAAGGAGCAAACCCAAGTGCCGCGAGCGTAGTCCTCAGTGTGTCGTGCCACTCACGTGGCGCCTGGCGGAGACCGTAGACTGGACGCCGGAGACTCCACTGGGTACCAGGAGGGAAAGACCCAGTGAAGCCAGGTGGGCGACGCAGCCAGATCTCCTCGTGCAGGCTGCCCTGCAAGAAAGCTGTGCTGAAGTCGAGAGAGTGCAGCTCGTAGTCACAGTGAGCAGCAACGTGCAGCAGAACCCGAAGAGTGGTCATCTTCGGGGTGGGGGAGAAGGTCTGAAAGTAGTCAACCCCCTGCCGCTGACTGAAGCCACGAGCCACGTAACGTGCCTTGAAGACAGGCGGAGAACCCGGCGGCCGCTTCACCCTGAAAATCCACATGCCACTGACGATGTTCGCCCCAGGAGGAGGAACAGCGTCAACGTAGGTGCCTGTGGACTTCCAGGAAGCCATCTCTGCATCCATAGCTGCCTGCCACTGAGAGGAGTAGGGACCCTCTATCGCCTCCGCGTAAGAGCGCGGAGTCGGGATGTCTGGTGCATCCGGGTCTCCCTCAGGGGCTAGCAGTACAGACGCGAGACGAGGTGAAGCGGCGGCCAGACACTGGAACTCCTCCTGCCTGTCCTCAAGGACGTCCGTGCCAAGGGCACACTCACCCCCGACGGACGGAGGACAGGCGGACTCAGACTCAGTGACAAGACGAGCAGCGTAGTCTAGACGACAGCGCGCAGCAAAGTCGACAAGCTCAGCGACAAGGGCAGACGCAGCAGACGACTCGAAGGAAGGGTCAGTGACAGCAGTAGCAAGGAGACGCGTGACAGTAGGACTGGCAGCACGAAGAGAGTCCGACTCCGGGTCGGCAAGAGCAGGAAGAGAGGAAGCAGGAGGAGAAGGCAAAGGGGCACGCAGAGGAGCAGTGGACGGACGCAGTGACATCCGGTGCGTGCCAGGGACAGGAGGAGGACGCTGACGCGACCCGCGACCACTAGCGCGCTCAGGACGAACAGGCGACACAGGACGAGACGCAGGCTCACGACGCTCAGTAAGACCTCCAGTCGGACCAGCGTAGGGAGAAGGAGCAGGCAAAGGGGAGGCAGGCTGTAGCTGTGGCTGTGACCGGACAGGCTGCGGACCCTCTAAGGGAGGAGGAGGAGGTGTAAGACCAAGAACCTGCTGCAGGAGCGGAACGAAGTACGGTCGGGGCCGCGCGGCGACGCTAGAAACAGCAGGAACAGCACCAGCAGCCCCGGCAGGAGCACCCACTCCAGCAGCACCTCCAGCAGCACCACCAGAAGCTCCAGAACCTCCAGCAGCAGCACCAGGAGCACCGTCAGTCGGACCGCCAACGGCAGGCTCAGCGCCAACACCCTCAGCAGTACCAGCTCCAGGAGAACACTCAGACCCAGCAGCTCCAGCACCCACAGTACGAGCACCGGCGGGACGCGCGGCAGCAGTACCCTCTGCAGCCGAAGAACCACTCGCACCAGCAGCACGCCTCCAGCGCCTGGCAAACCACTCACGCAGCTCCTGTGGGGAGAGTGGCTCCCGACGAGACGAAGCACCCCCAGGCACAGCACCCCCAGGCTCAGCACCCCTAGGCACAGCACCCCCAGGCACAGCACCCCCAGGCCCGGCACCTCCAGGCTCAGCATTCCCAGGCACAGCACCCCCAGGCGCAGCACCCCCAGGCTCAGCACCCCTAGGCACAGCACCCCCAGGCACAGCACCCCCAGGCTCGGCACCTCCAGGCTCAGTACCCCCAGGCACAGCACCCCCAGGCTCAGCACCCCCAGGCTCAGCACCCCCAGACTCCGCACCCCCAGGCTCAGCTCCCGCAGCAGCACCAGAGTCACCAGTGACCTCGACAGGCTCGACCGCGTCTACCTGGGACACACCTGAAGGGGCAGGACCCTGAGGGGGGAGGGGGACTACCGGGGGGGGACCTGGTACCAAGAAGAGCGGGGGTGGGGGGAGGGACGGAGTGCGGTAGGGGAAGAGGCGGTAGTAGGGTACCGACTCGTCGAACGTGACGTCCTGGGAGGACAGAACACGTCGAGAGGTGGGGTGGTAAAACTGCCACCCAGGGGCGTCGGGGGGGAACCCCAGGAAGACGCAGGGAGAAGCACGAGGGGACAGCTTGTCCGCAGACAGGTCGCGAACAAACGCCCGAGATCCCCAGACCCGGAACGCCGACGCATCGCCAACCTTCCCCGTCCACAGCAGGGCTGGGGAGGTCTCCGGTCGAGAGACCCTGGGGTGGAGGTTGATCTGGTGCGCGGCGTACCTGACCGCAAACGGCCACAGAAAATGGGGAGCAGCCGCATGCATCATGGACGTACGAGCGACGTCCATGACCATGCCAATGCGGCGCTCAGCAATCCCATTCTGCTGTGGTGAGTCCGGAAGCGTGAAGGTCTGACGGATGCCTCGCGCACGACAGTAGGCACTCAGGAGGCCAGAGGAGAACTCTCCGCCTCTGTCCGAGTGCAGACGCAGAACAGGGAAGTCAGAGCCAAAGCTCCTCCGAAGCTGGAGACGAGCTGCGCGGATCCAGTCGATCAACACCTCAGTGACCTCACCCTTGCTGCGCAAGGGGAAGACTGTGGTGTAACGCGAGTAGTCGTCAACCACCAGCAGGAAGTAGCGCTCCTGACCCTGTCCACGGACGCGGGCTGGGCCCCACACGTCCATGTGAAGCGTCTGCAACGGGGCCTCTGTCGGAGGAAACTGGGAGGAGTGAGGGGCAGCACGCTGGCGCCCCTCGACACAGGGGACACAGGTAGGGCCAGGGCCCGGAGGAAGGGGAGGGAGAGACCGGGGAAGACCAGACACAAGGACTCGCGAGGCCATGCCTCTGAGCCGAAGCAGAGAGGGGTGGCCAAGGCGGTGGTGCCAGAGGAGGGTCTCGTGAGACAGACGACGACACGAGCAGGGGGCAGACTCAGGACCAGACCTGGACGCTGCAGCAAACACCTGACCAGACGAAGGGACCCTACCAGACGTAGCACCTGGAGGAGAAGCAGTGGTCAGTGTGTACAGGCTCGACCCCGGCCGACGTGTAAACGTAGCCAGGTGGCGACCTGTATCCGCCTCCGTGCAGTGGGTCACCCGCTGACGAGCAGGGGTGAACTGGTGGACACCCGCATCCTGGAGGTCAGCACCACTCACCAAGTTCGTCGAGAACGAGGGGAGGTAGAGACCAGTCAGGGTGCCAGAGGGGGCCGCCGGACACGGGAGGACAGTGGAGAAGCGAGACAGGACAGGCCCCCCAGAGGGGTCAGCCAGGGACACCGCAACCGGCCGACTCAGCGGCGTGAGAGTGGTGCGGTCCCTAAAGAAGGAGCGAGACGCTCCAGAGTCAAGGGTGAAGGTGTGAGAGGCCGAAGCCGACACAGTACCTGAGAGGGCAGACTCACCAGTACCTGAGAGCACAGACGCACTGGCACCTAGAGCAGCAGCCTCACTAGTACCTGACGCGGCAGTACCAATGCCCGGGTCGGGCGGGAAACACCGGTAACAGTCATCCTCATCACTAACCACAGCATACATAGCAGAGAGAATAGCATCAAAATCAAGATCATAAATAGCTACACCAGCCCTAGACAGCTCTCCCCAGCGGGGGATCTCAGCGGCCTCCGGAAACTGCTGACGCCAGGCGTCGGTCAGGCGGCCAAAGCAGCGGCGGGCTGTGTGGGCGCCTCCACACCTCTCCCCTGCACGGTCACCGGTGCGAAGAACGTAGGGGCAGGGACCAAGCGCACCACCACGCTGACGCTGCAAGTACCACTCACGGAGCTGCTGAGGGGCGGGGACGGTGCGAGAGCGCTGCTGCTGCTGTGGCTGCTGCTGCGGCTGCTGCTGCTGCTGCTGCTGGCGCTGACCACCCCCAGAGCTGCTCCGCTGGGACGAGCCACTCCGACCCCCGCCTCCACCGCCACCCCCGCCTCCACCGCCACCCCCGTCTCCACCGCCACCTCCCCCACCAGGACCGTCGCTCCCACCGCTCCCACCGCCTCCTCCGCTACCACCTCCGCCGCCACCTCCGCCTCCACCGCCGCCACCAGTACCTCCACTCCCGCCACCACCCCCACCGCCACCCCCACTCCCCCCGCCACCCCCGCCGCCTCCTCCACCGCCCCCTCTAGCTCCACCCGCTCCCTTGCCCCCCTTGCCCTTGCCAGAGCGGCGTCTGCCGCTGGGGGCAGACGCCGCGCCGACCGACTCAAAACCAGTGAGGTCGGCCGCAGCGGCAGAGGCGACAGAGGGCAGCAGGGGGGAAGGACCACACCCCTCAAAGATGGGGGTGCGAGGGTCACCCCGAGAGGCCCCTACAGCGACAATACTCTTCTCAGCCGCTAGCAGGGACTCCTCAAGGAGGTCGACAGTGAGAGTGGTGGGACAGACAGAGAGAAACTGGTCCCGAACGACACGAAGGGACTCAGGGAGACGGGTGACGAGAAAGTAGAGAGTGATGTACATGGGAGGAGGGTTCGCAGCGCGGAACTCAGCAGGAAGGGCAGCGCGGTAGCGGGTGTCACTAGCACGGAGGTGGGTAACGAGGTCAGCGACAGTGGGAAAGGAAGCGAGGTCAGGGAAGAGAAACGGTAGCATGAGGCGGCTAAGGGTAGCGGAGGAAGGGGAGGAGTAGCGTGCAACTACAGCGTCGTACAAGGCCTGAGCGGTCTTGCACTGACTAAAGTGGGCACGCTCAGAGGAAGGGAGGTGGCGACGCACAGCAAGACGTGCAGCAGCATCGCGGGTCGCCCACTTGGAGCGAACGGCAGAGTCAGCATCAGCAGGTGGGGTAGGGACAGCGCCAGAGACAAAGTCAAAGAGAGAGACCTCATCTATCGCATCACACAGTAAGTACAGCTGCAGGTCTTCAATCCAGACGGCAAAGTCAATGGCCCTCCCCTCAGCGTCAAAGGTAAGAACATTGGGGGTGGCCATGGCAGCAGCTGAAAGTCTCACCGGGCTGGGAGAGTCGGGTAGGTCAGCAGCAGAGGAACACAGCTCAGGAACAGCAGCACGGCTCCTCAGGCGGCTCGGGCGGCTCGGGCGGCTCGGGCGGCTCGGGCGGCTTGGGCGGCTCGGGCGGCTCGGGCGGCTCGGGCGGCTTGGGCGGCTCGGGCGGCTCGGGCGGCTCGGGCGGCTCGGGCGGCTCGGGCGGCTCGCGCGGCTCGGGTGGCGTAGGGGCTCACGGGCGGCGCGGGCTGCTGGGGCTGCTCACGTGCAGCACGGCGGGCTGCAGCAGGGGCCGCGGGGAGGGCTGTAGCGGGGCCGACGGCGGGCCGACGGCGGGCTGTAGCGGGGCCGGGGCGGGCTGTAGCTGGGCCGGCGGCGGGCTGTAGCAGGGGCCGGTGGCGGGCTGTAGCGGGGCCGGGGCGGGCTGTAGCTGGGCCGGCGGCGGGCCGTAGCAGGGGCCGGTGGCGGGCTGTAGCGGGGCCGGCGGCGGGCTGTAGCTGGGCCGGCGGCGGGCAGTAGCTGGGCCGGCGGCAGGCTGTAGCTGGGCCGGCAGCGGGCTGTAGCAGGGGCCGGTGCGGGCTGTAGCGGGGCCAACGGCGGGCCGTAGTGGGGCCGGTGGCAGGCTGTAGCGGGGCCAGTGGCGGGGTGTAGCTAGGCCAGTGGCGGGCTGTAGCGGGGCCGACAGCAGCTGAAGCGGGGCCGGCGTAGGGCCGTGGCGGGGCCGACGAGGTCTGGGCGGGGCCGACGAGGGGCCGAAGTGGGGCCTAGGCGGGCCGGCGGGGCCTAAGCGGGGCCAACGCGGGGCCGACGGGGCCTAAGCAGGGCCAACGCGGGGCCGACGGGGTCTAGGCAGGGCCGACGCGGGGCCAAAGCGGGGCCTAAGCGGGGCCGACGGGCCTAAGCGGGGCTACGCGGGGCCGACGCGGGGCCTAAGTGGGGCCGACGGGGGGTTACGCGGGGCCGACGTGGGGCCTAGGCGGGGCCGACGAGGAGCCGACGGGAGCTACGCGGGGCCGACGAGGGGCCTAGGCGGGGCCGACGAGGGGCCTAAGCGGGAGCACGACGGGGAGGGCGACACGGAGGGTCGCTAAAAAAAAAATTGCGCGCCTCGGGGCGCGCTTCGGTGGGCCCTAGGAACAGGCCCTAAGAAGGGACCTGCTCTGATTCCATGAGAAAGTGTGAACGAGAATGAATGACTATGAAGTGAAGTGAATACAAATAGGAAACCCTAATTGTGTTGTACCCCCTATGGGATACCCCACTATAGCCTACAGAAACAAGTAAGCTATATGTTCTGACAAACTGCTCAATGTCGAGTCAGTTGTGTGTCCTTGCTGTCGCACTGTATTGGTCAAGTCAAAGGTCGCTGACCTTTGACCTTCGTGTAACCTCCAGGCGGTTACTCCCAACCTCCGTGGGTTGACTCGCGATGCTTCGATTCTGACTGCTTCGCTTTGAGTACTGTGTTTCGACACGACAGAGGCGCTTTAAGACTTATTGTTCCCAACACTCCCCTTCGCTTCTGGAGTGTCGCTGATGGTGACGTGGCTTTGTCCAGTCAGCAGCATGCAGTACTCGAACTTCTGTTTTCCGAGCTTCTTGGTCAAATAGTCAGCTGCCATCTCGGACGTGGGACAGTAGGACAACTCGAGTCTTCCTTTCTCGATCTCGTCTTTCACGAAGAAGTATCGCAGAGCGATATGCTTCGTTCTGTTCGCGAACCCGTTTTTGTTGGCGATGCGAATTGCAGATTGGTTGTCGCAGTGCAGGGTGAAGCTGGGTAACTCGGCTAGCTTTGCTTCTTCCAGTAGTTCGCGAAGGTAGAGTCCTTCCTTGGTGGCTGAGCAGAGGGCGATATATTCTGCTTCAGCTGAGGAGAGTGCGATTAGTTCCTGCTTACTCGACTGCCAGGAGATAGGTCCGATAGGCTCGAGACGGTAGACGTAGCCGGTTCGAGAGCGCCTGTTATCTGGATCGCCGGCATGGTCGGCATCGACATAGCCGATTAGCTTCGTTGACGCAGCTTCATTCTTGTAGTAAGTCAGGCCGATCGTCGGCGTGCTCACGAGGTAGTGCAGTGCACGATTGAGTTCTGCCATGTGGTCTGCTTCAGGTCTCTTGAGGTAGGTAGCGAGCTGGCTAGCGGAGTAGGACAAGTCTGGGCGACAGGTGACGGCTGCGAAGAGTAGACAGCCCAGTTTTCGCTGGTAGTCGCGTATTCCGGCGGTTTTTAGTAGAGTGGAGTTTCCTTGGTCGTTTCCTGCCGTGTAGCGGTATGGCGTGGCGATAGAGGTAGGGGTGAGCGAGAAACGCTTGGCGATCGTGTCGGCGTATTTCTCGGCGCTTAGATAGATTGCGTTTTCTTCTTCGCGGATGTTGAGCCCGAGGTACTGCGTGACGGTAGAAGAAACGGTGAGCGTGAGATCTTTCTGCAGCTCCCCTTCGAACCAGTTGGTGACGTCGTCGGTGGAGCCGATGTAGAGGAGATCGTCGACGTAGACGATGAGTAGGATGTAGTCGGTGCTTTTAGTGAGTCGGTACATGCCCTGGTCGTGGGGCAGTTGGCGGAATCCGATGCGGATGAGGCGGGTGTGCAGGTGCTGTTGCCACAGCCGTGGGGCCTGCTTGATTCCGTAGAGGGATTTTAGTAGCTGGCAGACCTGGTTGGGTTCCCCGTGGGTACCGTGAGGGAGTTCGACGAAAATGTCGGCGTCGACAGGTGCGTAGAGGAAGGCGTTGGCGACATCAATTTGTCGCAGCTTCTTCTTCTTCATGGCGGCGACGGCGAGAAGAATGCGGAGTGAGGTATGTCGACTAACTGGGGCGAAAGCCTCGGTGAAGTCTCGCCCTTGATCCTGGTCGAATGCCCGCACGACCCATCGTGCCTTGAACTTCTCGATTGTGCCATCTGCTTTCGTTTTGATGCGGAAGACCCACTTCCCGGTGAGGATGGTCTTGTTCCTTGCTACGCTTGCGGGAACAACCTTCCAGGTGTTGCGTTCCTCCAGTGCTTTTAATTCTCTGTCCATGGCTTCACGCCATTTCTCTCTGTGTTCCCCCCCCAGAGCCTGTTGAACTGTCGCAGGCTCTTTAGGAAGAGGGGAGCCATGGACGGCCGTGACGAGGCCAAGGATTTGCAGTCCGGTCTGGGAGTAGCGGGGGAGTGTTGTGTCCTCGGGATAGGCTGCTTTGTCTCCCGCTTCTGGATCGGGTATGAAGTTTGGCCCTATCCTTTCTGCTTCGTTGGTGTTGACTGTTGCAGGTGTTACGTAACCAGTGTCGGCGAAGTGATAGAAGACTTCGGCGTTGTTACTTTCGCGAGGATTGTCTTCGTCCATGGGCACGTCGACGGAGCAGAACGGGAGAGGTCCGGCTTCCTCTGATGCGTTGTCAACGTTCTGTTCATCCCAGTCTGCTTCGTCCGCTGCTGAGGCGAAGGCTCGGTCACCACGAAAGCCACCTGTGGGGTCCTGATTCTCGTGCAAGTTGGCGAGGTACGTCTGAAGGGTGAGTCTTTCGTAGAAGATCACATCACGTGCTGCCACTGTTTCCTTTGAGTGGACGTCGAAGATTTTCCATGCGTTGTAATTTTTCTCGATGCCGAGGTGTAGTCCCCACTGTGCTCGTTGTGAAAATCTTCCCGCGCGTGCTTCTGGGGGTCGGTACTGTACCATGCACCCGAAAACTCGTAACATTTTTGTGCTGCCCTGCTTCCCTGTCCACAGCAGATGTGGTGACGCGTTGTTCGGGAGTGACGACGATGAAAGCAAGTTGTGCAGCATGACAGCGTGGTCCATTGCTGCAGGCCACTGGTGGTTGGGTAGCCGCATGCCACGCAACAGCTTGCGCATGCTGTTCTGCAGAGTCCTGTTCATTCGTTCTGCAACGCCTTGCTGTTGATGGGCGTAGGGAAGGGAGAGGAGTTGCTTGATTCCCCTTTCCGCCAGGTACTGCTTGAAGCGCTGAGAGGTATACTCTCCTCCTCCGTCTGACTGGAAGCTTTTTAGCTTTGCTCCCGATTCCCTCTCTGCTACCGGTAGCCAGGCGGCGAAGGCTGCGAGAGCCATGTCGCGGCTTGGTAGATTTAGGTGCCAAACGTATCGGGTGGCGGCGTCGATGAAGGTGATGGTGTAGTTGTAAGTCACTTGTCCTGGCTCTCGGTTAAAGAGGATGTCGCTGTATACTTTTTCGAGTGGTGCGTACGCTGGTGCGCTCGGGTTGTGATGTGGAGCGAACGGTCGATGAGGTAAGTCAGCTTCAGGGCATGTAAGGCAAGTCCCTCTTGCCCTTTGAAGTTCTCTGCCGTCGGGTAGTAGTAGGGAATCTTTGTCGAGAACTCCTGCTCGTATCGTGTTATTTAATGCTGTGTTGCTTGGATGTCCCAATCTTGCGTGCCAGGTTTCTTCAGAGGCGCGATGTCCGGGTGAACGTCGATAAGTATCGGAGTTGGAGTGGCGACGAGGTTGGCGCTCCTGTGGACTTCTCGTTGAGTCGGGTTCAGCTGCTGTGCGAGTGTTGGTGTTTCTTCTTCGACGATGACTGGTGTAGTTGGTCCTGCTGCTGCCGGTGATGTTTCTGTTGCTGTCGATGTTGTTTCTGCTGCTTCCGATGTTGTCTCTGCTGCTGCCGATGTTGTCTCTGCTGCTGCCGATGTTGTCTCTGCTGCTGCCGATTGTCGAATGGTTGCTAATGCTCGTGTTCGTTCTGCTTCAGGAATGGTGTGTGAGTACCAGAAACCTCCCGGACTGAAGTCGGGATCGAGATCTGGCGGATGCGTCCAATCGGCGAAGTTGACGATAGCGTCGCTGTCGGCAGTTCCCAAGTCGGGAACGAAGTCGAGGACGAAGACATTATTTTTCAACACCGCCTTTCCGATGTAGAGACCACCCTTCCCGTGGTACAACTTGAACTCCTGGGTGGTGCTGTCGGCTTCCAAGTGTATTCCTTTCGCCATCAACTGGCTAACACTCAGTAAGTTGTAGCCTAGTCCCTCCGCGATAAGTACCTTTGACATGTTGAGTATGACGTTTGTTTCTCGTGACTGAAGCTGTACCACACCTTGTCTCCGTGTGCGCAGGTTCTGATTGTTGGCGACCGTGATGACTACTTCTCGCTGGAGTCGATGCTCGCGTTGAACGAAGCGCCCGGAGGAACACATGTGTTGTCCGCAGCAACTGTCCAAGAACCAGGTGTCTTGACCGGATGGTTCGCTTTGAGCGATTGCGGCATATGTTGGGTTCGGTTGAAGAGTTTCGCGGCGAGGCGTTCTGTTGTCAAGTTGATCTTCGGGTGAGTAGTACGGTGGTGACTCTGTTGTGCAAGAGTCATTTATCTTGACCATGCAGTTAATGATGTTTCTTGCTCCTTGTGCAGGTTGTCCAGATGAAGTCGTTGAAACTTGGTGTGCGGTCGTCGGAGTTGCTTGCGTTGAAGCAACTTGGGAGCTTGAAGGCCGGAGTTGTCGCTGTGGTGTCGTCGACTGTTGTCGAGATGGGCAGTGTGTGCGCGGATGACCCGAAGTTTTACAGATGTGACAGAACGGAGGTACTGTCTTTACTTGTTGCTGTTGTCGATTGTTGTATCGTCGCTGAGTGTGAAACGCAAACTCCCCTGCTAATGACTTCTTCTTGTGCCTTTCTTCTTGCAGGTCCATATCCTGCTGCTCGGCGTGGATTTTGGCGCAGAGTGCCGCTTCGGAGATCCTCCCGTGTGCTCGGAGTATGGCGCGAGTGGAGCGCCAGTGGGGGCCAAGACCGCCAATGATCACCGTGACGAAGGCGTCTTCGGAGATTGACCCTCCGCATCGAAGGAGCCTGTCGCGCAGTTCGCGACAGCGGCTGATATAAGCCATGCCTTTCTCCCCTGGTTTCATTTCAATCGTTGTCAATTGCGCCATTAACCTGCTCTGATTTACGCTGTCTGTTGCTTGGTACAGGTTCTTCAGGTGGTTGTACGCGAGCTCCGCGGAGTTACCGTAGCCTCGGTAAGTCCTGATGTTCTGCTGCTGGGTCGGGGTAATGTTTCTTAGCAGTATCGTGTACGCCATCATCGATTGATAGGTGTACTGTTGCTTTTCATATTGTGTCCCGTTTGTTGGGTATGGCAGGGACCCGTCGAAGAAGCCGAGAATCTGTGCTCCTTCCATCATCAATTCGAATTCGAATGACCAGGTGAAGAAGTCTTTCCCGTCGAAAGACTTTGTCGTTTGCAGCTTGAGAACGTGCGCGAATTGCGACTGGACTTGTAGCGCGTCCAATGTTTTTTCTTGTCCCGATGCAGGTTGCGGTTGCGGCATGAAGCTGACGGAACCACGCTGGGGTTCGTACGGCGCAAAGGTAGGTTGCTGTTGTTGTTGTTGAATCTCGCGTGCGTAGGACGACCCGTCGAGACTCATGGGAGTCACATTGTTGTTGTTGCTGTTGTTTGACTGCGCAGGTGCCCCTTGCTGGTGCTGTTCGTAGAAGGACATGAAGGAGAAAAATTTCTCCATCATGCTTGGATCGAAGCCTGCTGGAGTTTCCGTAGACCCAGCTGCTGGTCTGGTAGCAGTTACTTCCTCTGTCTGTAGGCCAGAGACAGGTGGTGGGGTAGGAGTAGTACCGGGGGAGCCGTTGGAGGAGCTCTTCTCCTTTCTGGTTGCCATGTCCCTTTGATGTAAGGCTTTGCTGAATACGGTAATAATTTTAACTCTAACTGCTCTCATACCATGTTGGGCTGAAAAGCCCTAGGATCTTTATAGAGTTAAAGGCTGAGTAGGATTGTAATAGCGGAAGCGTTAAATAAGAGATCTTGAACCACCTTGCGCTGGTATGTGAGGGCAAAGTAAAGTTGATTAAAACAAACAAGTACAAGGCTTTATATAAGAATACAAGGAATACGAATAGATGGGATAACTGTTTTGCTGTTGCGATTCGATACAGTGCGACTCGGGCAACTGCTCAATGTCGAGTCAGTTGTGTGTCCTTGCTGTCGCGCGACTCGGGCAACTGCTCAATGTCGAGTCAGTTGTGTGTCCTTGCTGTCGCGCTGTATTGGTCAAGTCAAAGGTCGCTGACCTTTGACCTTCGTGTAACCTCCAGGCGGTTACTCCCAACCTCCGTGGGTTGACTCGCGATGCTTCGATTCTGACTGCTTCGCTTTGAGTACTGTGTTTCGACACGACAGAGGCGCTTTAAGACTTATTGTTCCCAACACACCTGACCTGACATTCATCTCAGACTGAAAGTCTGGTACGTACCTCCCGTACTAAAATAAGCTCTCTGAAATATTTCATATCTAAAACGGGCTCATTCTTAAGCAGCGCATGCAATGACCATCAGGGCTCTTGCTAGGATCTGAGGACATCTGATTTGTCAGACGGGTCCCCCGGGCATTAGACAAGGTTTTGTCTGATCCTGTTTGCCAAATCAGATAAATCCAAAAAAAGTAAGTCTGAAAATCAGACCATCAGACCAAATTAGTCTGATAACGAGAGCCCTGACCAACTCTTCTGATTTTCACAAATGGTCATGCCACGTTAGTATGCACAAGTTCGGGTGCCATTGTAAACCTGCAATGCAACAAAAAAAAAGGAGGCTAATTAAGTACGCATGGATAAGACAGACTTAGCCCCAAAAGCATTCTCAAACTGCACCTTGCTGGCCCGGGCAAAAGCCGGTCAATCATTCGAACGCCCATTGGTTCTCGCGGCGAACTTCTTCTTCTTCCTCAGGAGTAAAGTCGTTCTTTATGTTGAATGTCCTGCGGATTTCCTCTGGCGATTTTCCTCGAATCATGTCGGCAACAGTCTGGCACGTAAGCTCCAGCAGATCTTTGATGTGCAAATAATTTGCAGCCTGACAATTGATAATGAATCACGAAGGGGCTGACGCAGTGAGTACGAAGACGTACATAAATATGTCCGCAAAGAGGGCTGCGGTTACCGGACGAAAGACGATGCATCAATACAGGATGATGGATACGCACCAATATCAGGTCGAACAGGGTAGCTTGATCGACTTTCACAAACTCTTGATCCCACGCCTTCACCTCATCGTCCGTAACAGCAGGCTTCTCCATGGAACCAGGCTTCTTCGCATCCACGTGATACTTGCAGTACTCAATCACCTTCGCCAGGATTCGCCCAGAGACGTTTGGCAAAGGGATGGGCTCGCTGGCAGACGACACATCGACATCTTCGATCATATTCTTCACGGTGTCGCTCTGCAAAGCTACCTCCTGGTCTACTTCGAAAATCTCATTGTCTGAGCTCTTGAGCTTCAACTTAGTGTCTGCCATGCTCGCTAGAATAACGTGCACTAAGAGTCACCCAGGAGTTTTAAGACCAAACAAGAACCTCTGCTGTCAAGCACAACCACCAATCCCACCAGAACACAAGCACCAAGAGAGAAGGAATAACAACGCTATATGTGAGATGAGATCGAGTAGAGTTGCGTGGGAAAGTGACCAACAAAACTCGAGCGTCAACGCTTTCCCACCTGTCAGGTCGATTTGGATCACAAGACGCAAGCAGTAGCCGTGTGAAAGTCCGAACCGAAACCCCAAGATTACAGGGCACGGCATCTACATGCCCATACGTTCGTCATTTGTTAGAATCAAGCTCTCCCTAGCCTAAAATTAATTTAATACATCTACACCTCAAGGTGCGCTCATCTTTGTTCTCCCATCCATTATGTAATCTCATTTCACACCAGAAGCATGTATCAAACTGGAGCCATATAATTTTATTTGTGGGTCATCATCACGAATCACATTCGCCATTCAAACTATTTATGTATGCGCACGGAGGCTGTTGTTGACCTCGGAAATTAGCTGCCATGCTTCGTCAATCTCTGAAATGCTACTTGTTGCAAGAAGCACAGACCTGCGATGAAATGAAAACAAGGGGCGGTCAAACAACTCATACTGTATGTGTGGCATGTGTATTGGCAGGAGATTTTGCTGAGATAGAAATAGACATGATTCACATAGAGGCTCCACCTGTGTTTGGCGAGGAATGCCTGGAGCATCTGCTGCAGGCCCCAGCGCAGGGCAGAGCGCAGCGTGGCAGCATTGTGGGGGTCGGGCACCACCCAGGTCTGCTGCATGGCTAGCACATCTCCCAGCACAGCGCAGAACTCCACCAATCTGCCATATAGAGCAAACACAGCCACATCAGACAACCAGCTGCAAAGGAGCTCAACCATCTGAGGGAAGAAGCAAGAGCGTAGGCGAGGTGCTCACCGCCGGATGGCGTCGGGTCTCCGCAGTCTGTCGTTGGTGACCAGGCAGTGGAACTGGCCGGGGGTAGGAGGGGGGAGAGAGGCAGGAATAAGAGTAAACAAGCTCACGTGTGCTACATAGGGTGATCTCGAAAATCACGAAAGGGCGACCTGTCCTTCAAACCCGATAGCATATCATACTGGTGTTAGGTCACAGAGACAAACACAAGCATGGGCACTGCTATGTGGGTCCTGCATTGTTGGTCAGTGAGGTGCAGTGAGGCAGGTCGTACCCTGGCGAAGGAGAGCTCCAGGAAGCGGTCACGGTGCCGCTCCTCGTGCTTGGCATGCGCGCCCACCTCCGCCAGCCCCAGCAGCTTGCCCACGCTCGACCTGCTCATGCCAAGGGCGGAGGTCCATAGGTACATGGGCACATGGGCACATGGGCACATGGGCACATGGGCACATGGGCTCATGGGCACATGGGCACATGGGCACATGGGCACATGGGCACATGGGCACATGGGCTCATGGGCACATGGGCACATGGGCTCATGCACACATGCACCCCTAACACTCAACATCTCTTAACACTCCCACTTTTCCCGTCTTTCCCTTTCCTGCCTCTCCTTCCCCCACCCTCTGCTCTCAACCCCTATCATCCTCTCCTACCCCCTCCCCCAGAGTGTTGCAGCGCACGTGGAGAGGCGGGAGGCGATGTGGTGGAGGTTGTTCATGAGGAAGAGCTCGCTCAGCGCCAGGTCGCCCCGGCTGCCCACCGCATGCGCCTCCAGCGCCCCCACCAGCCCGCGGATGCTCCCCGCGATCACCATCGCCATGCGCGCATGCACACGCCTCCCCGCCCCTCCACCCGCCCCCACCCCGGGCTGGCCGGGCAGAGGCAGCGAGGAGGCTTCACTCCAGCAGCTGGTGGCGGGGCTGCTGCACACGGAGTGGGGGGTGGGCGGCTGCTGGTCACGCGGGGTGAGGGCAGGGTGCGGCGAGGCGCAGGGGGAGGAGGCGTGGGAGGCAGCGGGCGGCGGGGTGGGGTGCGTGTCCAACACCTCCTCCAGCAGCCGGCGGTACGGCAGGTCGCTGTGGGGCACACCAGGGGGGGGGGAGATGGGACGGCGCAGCAGGAGGCAACAAGTGGATTTTGACAGGTTATGGTGCTATACGGTGCTGTTTTGTGTAGTGTGGTGTGAGGATGAGAGGATGGGAAGGCCAGGAACAGGTTGGCTGGCATGCATAGGTGCGAGAGAGGTCATGGATTCGTGAATGGACATAGTAGTTGGGGAATTGGGGGGGGATGCAGATGGTGGGAGGGTGAGATTAGAGAGCGCGAAAGCAGAGTGGGGGTGTGACTGACTGGGAGCAGAGGAGGTGGAAGGTGTCGAGGAGGCGCAGTGTGACGGGGTCCACGGCGCCCGTGATGGGCTGGAAGCATGCCGCCACTCCCGCCCCTCGCCCCCCCGCTGTTGTCGCTGCCGCCTGGGGTGCCGCCTGCGGTGGCCGCACTGACAGAAAGCTGCGGAGTGAAAGGGCGGGTGGAATCGACGGGGCAGGTGGAACGAGGCCAGAGGGAGAAACAGGGTGAGGGTTTGCCACCAGGGAGATGGGAAGGGCGAGGTCTTGAACTTGCAAGGACAGGAAGAAACTTTGCAGACGGTGCTTCCTCCCGAGAATGCATACGCTCCAAGCGATGACAAAGAGAGCAGACATGAAGGGCATGCGTGGAAGGCAAGCACGGAAGCTGGCAGGCACAGAGCACAGGCACGGAGGGTAGGGATGAAAGGCAGGTAGGGAGGGCAGGGACGCAACGCAGGCAGCATGTTTGAGGTGCATACCGCAGCAAGAGACTGCGTCCCTTGCGCTGCCCCACGCCCATGCCTGCTTGCCCAGCGGTGTCGCCACCTGCTGCTGCCACAGCCGTGTCCGCCGTGCCCTCTCCACTCCCACCACCGCCCTCGCCTCCCTCCGCCTCCACCTTCTCAGCCTCAGCTGCACCCCCCTGCTGAGAGCCACCATCGCCTGCATCCCCTTGCGTCAGCGCCGTTATCACCACCGGTCCTTCCTTCTCCTCGCCCCTCTCACTCCCTGCCTGCGTCCCTCCCTCCTCCTGCCCCTGTCCCGTGGCCTGCCCCTTGCCCTGCCCCGAAGCTTGCCCGTCCAGCAGCAGCGCGAGCAGGGAGGGGTGGGACCAGGCGGTCTCAGTGGCGAGGAAGGCGCTCCTCGCCACGCCCGCCACGCGCGCCAGCACCTCCAGGTACTGCCGCCGCTGCCTCTGCGTGCGCCGCGGGTACAGCTCCGCCACCTGCGCGCCAGGGGGAGGGGGGGAGGGGGAGCGCAGAAGAGTGGGTGGAGGGGAGAAGAGAAGGCTTGGAGCAAGGAAGCACAGACGAAGAGAGTCCACGGCCGTCTTTCTTGTGCTGGGATAACGGAGCCAACGCCTTCATGTATGTCGGTTGCTCGCGTGGGCATTGGAGCAAATTCAACATGTCTTCCGCGCCTCCCCCGCAGCGCCGCTGGGGGGACCCTCTGCCCGTTAGAACCTCTCACTGGCTGTCTCACCTGTCCAGCCCACAGCCCCCAAGTCTCCGTACCTGCGGGTAGCCGTCCCTGAGCGCGTGGAAGGTGGAGAGCGCGTGGAGCAGCGCGTGCAGCGAGGGGGGCGAGGCGGCGAGGCGGCTTGGCAGGGCGAGCAGCGCGGCGAAGGAGGGCGCGAGGAGGTCGTCCACGCACTCCTGCCGCAGATGCCCCATGCCGCCCAGCACCGCCTCGCTCAGCCGCTGCTCCGCCAAGCACAGCGCCAGCTGCGGGGGGTGCGGGGGAAAGGGGGAAAGGGGGAAGGGGGAAGGGCGGAGGGGGGGTTCAGGGGCGAGGGAAATGGAGCAAGGGTGGGAGCAGGGAGGAAGAGAGGGGGGGGGACGACGAGCAGGTGAGGGCAGACAGCACCATGCAATGGGCAATGCGGGAAAGGCGCGTGGAAGGTGAGCCAGCGAGAGCGAGTGAGGAAAGAGTGAAGGGGGAGCGACGTACTCCAAATCGGAGGTGCGCGCGCCACTCCCTCAGCCGCTGCCCCGCCTCCTCCCACGACCACTCCGCTTGGGCCGCCCCCTCCCGCTCCTCCACTCCCACTCCCGCTGCCGCCAGCGCTGCGCGCACCACGGCGCCCCGCCGTCGCCTGGTGGTGAATGGGTGGCATGAGCGGAGAACGCGGGGCAGAGGCAAGGCGATGAGTGCGAGTGAGGCCGCGCACAAGCGCGCGTGGCGAGCTCTGACCACGGATCAGCTGCGCGCAGGGTTCAGGGGCGCGCAGGGTTCAGGGGCGCGCTGGGACGTGCAGACGAGTAGACGCGTGAAGGGGTTGGGGGGCAGCGAGGGGAGAGGAGAGGGGGCTCACTTGTACGTGTGGAACAGCGAGGGGAGAGGAGAGGGGGCTCACTTGTACGTGTGGAACAGCGTGTGCCGCTCGCCGTTCTCGAACAGCCGCTTCGCCATCGCCTGCAGCCGCGCCACCATCTCGCTCCCCGCCGCACGCTCCCCCCAGCGCGCCGAGCCCTCGCAGCCGGAGAGCGCGTAGGCGGAGGAGGGTGAGGGGGGACAGCGCAGCTCGGGGAGGGGCGGCAGTCCGCCACGCGCGGAGGGGGAGGTGGCGGCCGTGGGGGGGAAGCATTCCAGTGCACTGGGGTGTTGGCAGGAGCAATGGATTCGAAAGGGGGAGGGGAGCGGTTGGCGGGAAGAGGGGAGATGGGAAATGGGAGTTTTAAAAAGGTGAGCGAGGGGCAAGTGAGTGTTGCAGAGCAGAGGGATTGTGTGCGAGAGGGATGCTGTTATGTCTGGCGAATGAGCGGGGAACGAGGGGACGTGAGGCGGCAAGACGCACTCGACTGCTCCAACGTGCTTGTCGAAAGCGGCCGCAAGGACCTCCATGGCTGACGTGAGAAGCTGTCGGCTGCGCTCGATCTCCGCCTCCATTGCGCCCACCGCGTCCCTCACGCGGTCAACCGCCGAGTAGAACTCCGCCGCCGCCACCTCCCCGCCCTCTCCGCCCGCCCCGCTGCTCTCCGCCCCGTCAGCCAAGTCCAGCCCCAGCGCCACGGCGGCCTCCAGAACGGGCTGTACCTGCGGGCCGAAAAAGCGCGGGAGAGAACGTGGTCGCGTGGGCGCGGGCAATAGGGTTTTGAAAAACAAAAAAATGACGGGCGCAAGTCTATCTTCCGCTGTGCCTGAGGTCCTCCGCTGGCCCCTCCGCCGGCCCAGTCGCCTTACCTCCTCGCGCACGGCGAATGGGTTGAGCATGAGGTATGTCGATTGCGACGCCACACTGCCCTCGTCGCCGCTGTCGGCACCGTCCTCTCGCTCACTCTCTCCGCCACCGCCACCTCCCGTCGTCTCTTCTGCTTCCGCCCATACTGCATTTTCCTCCGCTGTGCCCTCTTGCTCCTCTTCCTCTTCGCTCTCCGCCCAATCCGACCGTTCCTCAAAGCTCTCCGACTCTTTACGAAGGCGGCTGCGCAGGACTTTGGGCCGACGCGGTACGCGGCGTCGAGCGTTGGGTCGAAGCGCTAAGCGGCCAGCAGCCATCAAGGCACCCGTTCGAGTGGCAGGACGGCGCTACTGGAACCGAAACAGAGGATGTTAGAGATGGCGAGGAAAACGAGACTAGAAGGGGTGGTACAGAAGTGCTGGTGAACTCTAGCTACTAGCACTAGCTAAGTATGCGCGTCTATGCGGCTGAGCTGGGCAAATAGGGTGGTCGCCATGGCTCAGCAGATTAAAATGATAAGTTCATTCCGCAGCATATCCGTATTCCTCAATGTTCAGTCTAAATTAATCTCGAAGGTTGCAGTCGTTGCGCGTAATGCCCGTGTGGGGTCTCGATGATGCAAAAGCGTTCACTTGGAGAACTGAGGGCGGGTCCAACTTTGCACACTCCCGTTTTTTTCGTTATTTTTACGTCAACACACTTGTCAATTTTGACTGTACCCCAGGGAGTAGTCCTAACGTTTCTAGTCCAGTTCGGAGTGTTCAGTGCGGACTTTTGACGAGGTGCATTAATGTTGCGAGGCACAGCACCTGGGAAGGGAGTTACCAAATGTTGCGAGGGTTTCCGCATCTAGGGCGAAAGGAGTAAAATTATGGCGAAACGGTTTTGGTGATAAACGGGCGTTACTGTTTGACGAATTTGACAGGAAGCGATTTGGAAGACGAGCCTTCGGATGTGTTCCCGCACGTCCCGGGCCGCGTTTCTGAAATGAGCTCATTTATGTACAGTCTCGCGTCAGACTGATTTCGTACGTAAAAAGTTCTGTTACATGCCTAATTCTGGTAACTGAGCTGAAAATTTTCCGTACATGTGCAAAGTTAGACCCGCCCTGAATCCCAAGGCTCCGCTCATGATTGACACAGAACAGGACAACCACCAACGAGTCTGGGAGGGGCGAATTCGAAGCACACGAATTCATGATACTGTATGGAACGGAAGCAGGACCAGCATAGGTTTGGCGGGGTGGACGGGAAATTTGCGAAACATTTCGGGCGCGCTTCGATGATGTGGTTTATGCGATCTGGCTCGTGAGGGTCAACGAACTCGCAACGACCTTCTATTGGTTAGCTTTCGCGAATCCTCCAAGCAAAGTGAATTGCCTGACAAGGCGCCAAGGCCTATGGCGGCAAGGAAAAATCGACAAATCCCTGTTAAAGCATCCCTGAGCAAAGCGCACAACACGGTAGAACAGTGCTGCTGTAAGTCGTTTTATTAAAGGTTACTAGATGCATTCAACACAAGACGCTACCTGCTTTCCTCTGTTGAAAAACCAAAACGAGAGCAATTTGCTTCTCATGAGTGCAGGCTTGTAATTTTTTAAGGCTATATGAGCCAGGTAGTATGCACACCAGCGAAACAAGTTTACAGATGGTTTCGAAAAAACACACACTGAATGCCGCGCAAGTGTATTCAAGCAACTGAGACAAGTTCGGGAATCTTAATATCGGAGAACTTCCACACCAATTGCGATGCGACACCCACGCAAATCTCCCTTTGTCCTTTCGTCTTGCGGAAACTGCGGTGACCCTCGGTCACCGCAAAACGCGAGCAATCACCAAGCAAGCTGGTGGGAACCCTTGTTCAGCCAGACCAGAGATCCATGTTGTGGTGGCAAAAAATCAGTTATTTTTTAAGACCGCGGGCAAGACAACTTCCTCTGGTGGTTTGGAATGTCGGATGTGCTCGTCGTCTTTCGCATGCTGGGCCCTTTGCGTTTCAGCAATCTCATTTCTTTTGGAATGGCAGGTTTTCTTATATATTTTCAAGTAAAAACATCCTCAAACTACAGCAAAAAAACCAAGCTGCGTGTACACTTGGATAGAGGGGCGGGCATGGCAATCGAGCCCTGCGGTTACATTCGAATTCCGAAACCGTACACATGTCTGCTCTTCCCCCAAATTCTTGTCTCGCCTATAAACTCGACACTTGGCCTCAGTTGATTGTGTTGTCACCAGCCAGCCATCGCCACGCCATGCCAAGCCATCCGTTACGCCAGCATGGCCCGCGCCGCGACCTGCTCGGAGCTCTCATACACTGGGGCACGCTTTCCTCTTGGCCCCAAAAGTCGCATCCACCACCATAAGTAGTTTCTGGTCAGCCAGCACGATCCCGTGGTCGGAGAAGGCGAGGCACGCCACAAGCACTGTTTCCTTCATCCTCCCCCCCCAACGCAGCTGCTGTTTGTGTGAAGCAAGCTCGATGCAGCTGTCAGCCATGGCAGCGCGAGACCCCTTTCGACCAGCATTTTCTCCGAGGCGCCCCGCAAACCCCTCCGGTCCATCCGCGGCAACCTCTCCGCGCGGATCCCCGTGCCCATCGCACCACTCCTCAGCGCCCTCCACCTCGTGCTACTCGCGCTCGAGCTCTGTCCGCAGCTGCAGCAGCACCAGCAGCAGCTGTAGCAGCTACAGCAATGCATCCTCCTCGGCTGCGGATTGGACGGCGCAGAGTCCCATGCTTCCCGATTGCGTCGCCGGGCCGATCCCCGAGTGCGACGCGCGCCTCATCTTCCGCAGCCTCGTCAACACCATCGTCGCCACCAGGGCCGCCGCAACCAACACGGGGACGCCCGGGGGCGCGCGGGGATGCGGCTTGAGTCGGAATCGGAGCGGGCGGGGAGACGGCAGCGTGAAATCGACGAGTCTGCTGTTCGGATCGTGTAACGAGCCGTGCTGTCGCCCTCTCTGCTTCTTCGCCCCCGAAATGCTTCCCGCGTTGCCCTCACCGCCGTGTAGCGACACGGGCGCCCCCGCCGTTCACCCTCCCATCCCCACGGGCGCTGCACTCTTCGCGCCGACGTCGGTTTCCCGGTTTGCCCCACCGGCGGCCCCCGCGCTGGCGGTGGACGAGGTGGCGCTGGGCGCGCTGGAGGTGTGGAGTCTGGGCGTGCTGCTCTACTCGCTGCTTACCGGCCGGCACCCATTCCTCGGGCGCTCCAACCACGACACGCTGCAACAAATTCGCGCCGCCCGGGTGCGGTTCCCCCTCACCGTGCGTGCGATCATGCTGTCTGGCGACGCCAAGCGACTAATCCGCGAAATGCTTGTGATAGACCCTGCTTCGCGACCCACGCTAAAGCAAGTGCTCGCACACTCGTGGCTTGCTTCCCCTCCCGTCCGAACCCGCACTCCCAACGTACCCGGCTTCCGCCCGCGAAAGCACCTCCGCGTAGCGCGATCTTGCGGGCTGATGTCGTGCATACGGGTCAGCGACTCGGAACCCCCCTGATCTCAAGGGAAACGGAAACAATGATGCCTTGGGTGGATGCACGACGCTGTTTGCGCGGGGACGGTAAGCGGTTGAGCGGAGCCGGGGCTCGACAGCACTCATTCGTTCTTCCGCTAATTAGCGCTTTGCAGTCGCTTCTGTGCTGGCAGAGCGCGGCATCTCGCCGTCTCACCGCGCCACGGCCACTCAGCATGAACCAAGCAACTGCCGCCATGCTCTCCGCCCGTTTTTAAACCTACGATCCGCGAGATTGTCAACGTCTTAGGACTCTGCGACGCACTGTGCGATGCTGTGGGGACGAGGGATGGAAGGGTCGGGTGAAAGGCAGGGCAGACATGCAGCCCCAAGAAAGCATTGCACTGCGAACGACAATTCGTTGCGCCGGCTGAAGCAACACCGCGCGCCGTAGGCGCTGTTCGATTGCACTGCAATGTTTTGTACAGCCACACCACAGTATGTCCGAGTCGGCCATAGGGTTTCCGAACCTTGGGTCACTACACGCCATAGTCAACTTGTTGCGTGCACAATCTTGATTGACCATTGTTCAGATTTGACAGCTGTGGAAACAAACAAATCCCTCACAGTCAAAACCGCGTTCACCACAAGTAAAACAACGAGCTACAAAATTGTGCATTAAATGCACTACATGACAACAGGGGCACTAGTCCCGGCTGCAATCTCTTCCCCAAGACTCCTGGAGGCCACAGCTGCTAACCCCTCCGTCCAACTCCGAGCTGTGAGAGATAGAAAAAAAAAACCAAAGGGGTTGAATCGGAAACTCCCTTTCACCTCCTGAACCAAGCACATCCGGGATGTGAAGATTGCAAATACTTATTCGAAGGAATGAGGATCGAGTAAGCTAACAGCGGAGAGATGAGTTCGGTTGAAAAGGGGAGTGTTCTTGGTAGAACCAATACCCTCGATTCAGGTTGGGGCAGAAGGGGGCGAAGTTTAATTTACCCAGAGCCCTGCCCGAACTCTTTACACCTTCACAGTGGCATTGGGGAGGCTGTCGTTGTTGCAGCTAGCGGAAACCAAGCCTTTTTTGCCCGTGAAGTACTGTTGCTTGACCAGCAGGCAACAGTGTTTTTACCGCGGTCCGCAGCGAAAATTACCGCACCAGATTCGTAGGTGGGCCGAACGTACTTCAGGTTCTGGTTCGGATATGCCTAACCTCTCGTGGGGTTTAAAACCCAGGTGTGCTGCTGTCGAGCCTTTACCGAACCACGCAATACTGTGATAGGGCTGTGGTTACCCCTGGACTGTGAAGCTATCGAACAGCGCCGTAATGTGAGGCTCCGAAGCCGGGAGCAATTCAATTTACGGCTACTGCATTGCACATGACCATGCTGTTGTTTTTATCTCACCAGTAAGGACCAGTAGTATCATTGAACTGGACTGTCCTTTTACAGGTCATACATTACCCTAGGTGATAGTACGAGCTGAGTGGCTAACAGTATTACCCAACAACCACCTGAGAAACAATACCCCAGTAGCTGACGTTCAGCTACCCACCCACTAGACCTCGTTGCACCAAGCAACACCACTACGAGGAAAAAGGATATCAAGGGACATTCAAAGCAATACATCAGAGGAGAAGAGCAAGAGCAGCAGCTATGATTGCCAGAGGTAGGGAGAGGGAGACAGCTGCATGGAGAGGCGCCGACTTGGGTGTCACCTGAAGTGCACAGAGGCATGGGAAGATGGGAAATAGGCGTACAGGGAAGACAACACTGAGTCCACCCTCCATTTCCTCGCTCGCAGCGGGCTTTTTGAAGACACACATGGATGGCTTCCTCCCTTCCCTTTAAAGCTGAAATATACATTTGTCATCCATGTTTTGGGTTTAGGGAGTCGCCTCACGGTCTCACGGGCAAAGTTTCAAATTTCAAAAGTTTTTGAACCCCTTCTGTCAAATGTATACTAAAGCTTTAACCTCAACAATCCACCTCCCCATAAACAACCACCCCAATTCTTCCTCCCATCCACTTCCTGCCCATTCCCCCCCACCCCGCCTGCCCCATGCCCCATGCCCCTGCCCCCTCCCACCCACTCCCCTTCTCTCCGTCCCCCCCCCCTCTCCCTACCCCCCCCACCCACCTGGGAGAAGCCAGAGGCGACGACTTGGAAGGTGCCTTGGCGGGGCGAGGCGAGGGCAAAGGAGAGGTCCTTGGGGAAGGCGCCCGCCACGCCCAGCGCGCCATACGTGGCATTCGCTGACGCGGGGGAGACGAGGGCGTGCGTGTAGGCGTCGTAGGTGGTGCGCTTGGTGTCATACGCCACGTAGGCCTCGTTGATTAGTGTTGTCGTCACCGCCTGCCCCACGCCCACCACCTGGGATGAGCGCAGGGCACAGCCGCAGTGTGGGGGAAAAGGGGGGTCCGGGGCATGGGCAGGGCGAAGGGGGGAAAGGGTGGAGGGAGAGGATCAACTGAGAGGGAGGTCGATGGCAGTGTGGATGTAGAGAGGCTCAATGATGGATGAACCAACGCCCCCTCATCCCCTCTCATCCCCTCTCATCCCCTCTCATCCCCTCTCATCCCTTCCGACATGCCCCCTTACACCCCTTTGCCCTTCCCACACCTGCTTGCCCCACGTGGCGGCAAGCGGTGCGCACCTTGGAGGCGTTGGTGGCGAGGTAGTACTTGGGCTGCCACACCTGCAGCGCGTCGTCCCACTGCGGCGTCGTGTTGAACGTCACCAACGCCCCCACCCCCGGTAGTGCTCTGATGGACGTGGAGAGAGGGGGAGAGGACGGGGGCGTGTTGGGAGGTACGGAGTGAGGGGGGGTGATGAGAGGCGAGGGAGCGAGGACGAGGGGAATGGGAAGCGATGGGAGCGATGCCGCGGGGTGAGGAGGGATGAAGAGGGGTCGAGAGGGAATGCGAGAGGGCAGTGCGGCTCACATCTGGGCGAGGGAGCGGGAGGGCTCGCGCAGCTTGGAGGAGGTGTCTTCCTCGGCGAGCTCCGAGTCGGGAAAGAGAAACCCCGACGCCCTCTGCACCTCGGGAATACCCGCCGGCGCCGCTCCAAACGCGACAGGGATGCTGTCGGGCGCGCACACACTGTACTTGTCCGACATGCGCTGGCACCCCGCTCCCACGGCGTCGGCATCGCGCGGAGTGAGGAAGGAGAATGTGAAGAAGAAGAAGCACGAGTGGCAGATGTGCTGCAGCCCCGGTGGGATGCGTTGCAGAGCGGTGGAGGCGGCGAGGGGCGTGGCGGCAAGGTCGCCCAGCGGCAGGCAGCCCAGCGGGTCGTAGAAGACGTCCACGTGGTTGATGGCTGTGAAGCGCGCTGAGCCTGGTGGGGGACCAAGGGGCCGGGGGGACAGATGGGGAAAGAGGTTGCCGTGTGAATTTCAGGGGATAGGAATGGAGGGTGACAGCATGGGGGAGGAGAGCATGGGGGGGGGAGAGAGCATGGGGGGGGAGAGCACGGGGGGGAAAGCATGGGGGGGAAGAGCATGGGGGGGAGAGCATGGGGGAGAAGAGCATGGGGGGTAGAGCATGGGGGGGGAGAGCATGGGGGGGAAGCGCATGGGGGGAGAGAGCATGGGGGGGAGAGAGCATGGGAGCTGCGATTATCAGTACTCACCCTGTGGCAGGGGGAAGCGCTCGCGGTAGGGCGCGTAGTCGAAGGTGGGGTTGGGCTTTCTCAGCTCGTCCGGTGTTGGCACCTGCCCGCTCCACGCACCATGCACCATGTGCCATGCCCCACGCACCATGCGCCATGTGCCAAGCCCCATGCACCATGTGCCATGCCCCACGCACCATGCACCATGTGCCATGCTCCACGCACCATGCGCCATGTGCCATGCCCCATGCACCATGCGTCATGCCCCATGCCCCATGCACCATGCGCCATGCACCATGCGCCATGCACCATGCGCCATGCACCATGCGTCATGCCCCATGCCCAGGCAGCCACATCACATGCCGCGGTTAGAGACGACTGACAATGGCATTTGAGGCGATGCGCGCAATTGAGGCGCAATCGGGATGTTCGAGGGGACAGCACACAACCGGGCACTTGTTCCGTGCCTATTCCTTATCCGCACAAATGTCCGCGCATGTGCGCGCACAAGCTGTGCGCACACGGGTACGTCCAACGCACCAGCGGCTTGACTGGCGGCTCACCAGCAGTTTGACCTCGTCGGCTCACCAGCAGTTTGACCTCGGCGGCTCACCAGCAGCTTGACCTCGTCGGTGGTGACCAGCACCGTCACCACGCCGTCGAAAAGCTGACTCTCGTACTCCGCGCGCAGCTGCGTCTCCCCCGCGCCCTGCGCCCATCCCCACCTGCCGGGGTGGGGGGGGGGGAATGCGCGCGCGCGGAAGCGGCGGGAGAGAGGGACACGTTGATGAGTGCGGAGAGGGTCACGCGGTGCAAGGGGAGAGAAGGATTGGTGGCATGGCGATGGTGATTGTCGTCGACTCGATCGTAAATCTGAAAAGAAAAGAAGCTGTTCACACCGAATACACAATCTGAATTAATGAGAGCGCGAGCGGCTTTCTCGCGACTCAACTGGGCGTGTGCGACGGCGGCATGGCTGGCGACAAGAACGATCGTCGCCAATGCGACTGATTGAAGCGCGCCGAGCGACGGAACCATGGCGATCGGGATTCAAAGAGTTGTCGGAAGGGGTGCCGCGGGCCCCGGGGAAGATGGACGCAACGCGCGTCGCTGAAAGTACACTATACGCTGATTTTGAGGCGGAGTGCAAAATCTAGGCACTGCATGAACAATCGTTGAGGAGTGGAGAGGGGATGCGATGCGAGTTAGCTATGACAGTTATGGAAGGGCTGGAGATGAATGGCGCGAATTGATGGCACAAACAATCAATCAACTGGCAAGCGACGGGAGGGGCGAATTGGTGGAGGTGAATTGCGGGGGGACTCGGCGGAAGAACGGGAGGAGGGGGAGCGACGGCGAACGGACAGCAGTGCGACAAGCGCGAGTGCGCGGAGCGGGAGTTGGCGCAACACAAGACCCACCTGCCCGAATATGGGACCTGCTTGAAAGTTCACCTGCGCCAGCACCTTCTCACTGTAGCAGAGAAATATGTATACCGTACGTGTACAATCGTACAAAATGCGAGAAAAGGCGCGTCATACAAAAAACATATACTCGGATACTTCATTAACACATTTCCCAGCACACCCTTTTGAGTTGTACATAGGCATCAGCTTTTATTAAGACTCCAAAACCACTAAGTTTTGGAAAGAAACAAGCATCTCCTGGGCGTGTTGCTTCACCATTCAACCAAAGCACCCGCCGAATCTCCGTTGCTGGTAACCCAAGCACAGAAGCACGAGGAAAAAAAAACAGCGGAGTTAGATGAGGACGCGTGTTAGTGTAGCATGCACACGACAGCACGGAGGCGTGGTGCATAATTGCATAATTGCGGATGTGTGGATAAGTAAGTGCATCGAACAAAACAGGGTGGGCAGGGCAGGCACCTTGCGTAGTTGCAGCTGTTCAATGAGCACTCTCAGCTGCTCCTGGCTGTCCAGTAGCTCCTTCAGCATCTGCACCCAGCGAGGGAGGGAGGGGGCAGGCAGAGGTGGGGCAGGCAGAGGGGGAAGCGGCAAGGTGATGACATCACCCCTTCAGCATAGCAGGCGCGTGCACACAGCCAGCTGAACTTTGAACCACATTGAACCAACCCATTACCCACTCTCTCGCCAATCCCCTTACAACCACACCATCCACCCTCACCCACCACTCCCCCTCCCCCCCCCCCCCCCCCCTCTCTGCGCACCTTCTTGGTGGTGGCGAGTTCTGACTCCAGGGCTGTGACGCGCTCCACTGCCGGCTGCGGCCAGTCCGACGGGGGGGGCTCTGGGCGCGGGGCCAGGGCGGGCGTGGACGGACCCGATGCCAGCTTCTCCACCTGCACAGGACGGACGAGGGGAGGGAGGGAGAGTGGGTTGGGAGGTGGGGAGGAGGGGCATAGGAAATGCGGGGAGGCAGGGTGTTGGGCCATCATTTGAGCCTGCTACAAAGAGCTTGGCAGCAGAGGCAGCATAAAAAAAGGCCAAGGCAGCGACGTATGTGCACAAGAAAATATGATCTATGCATTTGGTGTTATTTGAATAGACGAGCCATTCATCCGCCCCCACCACCCAAGCGCCTCTACCAGCCCCAAGCGCGTGTAGCAGCCTTGCTACCTGGCTCGCGCCCGGCTGCCCCACGGCTCTCTCAGGCTCAGCCCCCGCAGCCCCGCCCCTCTGCACGAGCAGACGCTGCACCTGGCTCTCGAGCTCCTGCACGCGCCGCAGCAGCTGCTCCGGTGTCAGCATCGCCTGCGCCCCGGGCGGCGCCATCGCCCCCCCTGCCGCCCCGCCGCCGCCCTCCAGGCGGTGGGCGGGCGGCGTGACGGTGATGACGATGCGGGAGAAGAGGAGCGGCAGGTTGGCGACAGCTGAGAAGAAGGACATGAGCAGCGAGACGAGCCCCGTGGCTGCTGCCAGTGAGTCGGGCGCCGAGGAGGAGGAGGGCGCCATCATGGGCACGCCTGCTAGCGCTGCCCCGCCTGATGCTGATGCTGATGTGCCTGAGAGATGGAATCGGAGCGGGGGGCGTGCGGGGGTGTTGGGGGTGAAGGGTGGAGGGAAGGGTGAGGCATGGCGGGTCAAGTTCACCAGTGTCAGTCAGCAAGGCAGACACAACCGAGCATGGACTTGCGAGTCAAGTAAGCCAGCATAATGAGAGCCACCAGCCACCCACCGTAATTTCTGGATGGCGGGGTCGAGACCTGCTTCCCCCTGCCGCCCGCTCTCAACGCCGACACTGCTGATCCCGGCGTGCCACTGGCCCGCCCACTGGCGCTCCCTGCCCCAGATGTCACCTCCCCCACGCCCACACTCAGCCGTTTACCCGCGCCTGCACTCATGCCTGTGGAGCTGAGCTCGCCGCTGCGGTCATCTGATGCCACGGACCCCGTGCGCGACACCTCGCGCTCGTCGTCACTGGAAGTGGCGGAGCCTGAGACAGACGGCCCTGCAGCGCGGTGCGTGGACGCGGGCGCACGGCGCTGCATGCTGGCGGAGCGGCGCGCGGCGGAGGCGGCGGAGGAGGGCGTGGTGGTGGTGGGGTCGTTGAAGTAACGACTCGAGTTGAGCGAGTTAAGACGCTGGGGGTGGGGGGAATGAAGGGGGGGGTGAGAGGGGGGTTATGGCGGGGAAGTGAGGTAGGGGTGTGTGGAGTGAGGAGGGGGGAGGCAGGGATAGTGAGAGGCAGGAGGGAGAGGTAGGCGGACTGGAAGAGTATGACAGGAAGGCATAAGGTGCAGAATGCAAGACCTGGGGGTCGTGTTGCACATGCAAACCCACAACCCTCTTTAACATGATGGACGATGGGTGTGCGGAGGAGCATGAGGGCAAAGGGGGTGTGTTACGAACGAGGTCGAGGTTGTGCAGGTCGTGTTGACCCAGGTCAAAGTTGGGCGTGGTGAGCCCGCTGAAGGACGGCGTGCCCAGGTCGTCCAGGTCCGACACCTCGCTGCCCGTGTCGCCTATGTCCTCCGCATCCAGCTGGGGGAGCGAGGGGGAAAGGGGGGAGGAGTGGGAGAGGGGGGGAGAGGAAAAAGTCAGGGGGAAGGGTGCGGGCTTTTGAAGCTCTTTGAACGACACCTCGCTGCCCGTGACCTCTATGTCCTCCGCGTCCAGCTTGGGGAAGGGGGGGAGCACAGCACAATGGGTGAGGGGCAATGGGAGATGGGCCACAGCATAAGCAATACCCCCTGGTTCAACCCAAGCCCAAAACGAAAGAAAATAAGCGAGACATGAGTTGAACCAACCCACTGACCAGCGACGCATCGTCCACACAGAGCAATCACAAAGGCATGGACTGCAGTCCAACGGTCCACAGGGGCAGCAGGCCCAGAGGCCCACAAGAACGCACCTTGAACTGGCCCGACTGCCAGCGGATGCGCCCCCCTCGCAGCACGTCCTCGGTGTTGTCGCCCCCGCTGATGGTGCCCGTGCGCTGCAGCCGCACGACTCTGAGGATGTCCCCGTCGCGCCATGGCCCCTTGTCCGACATCAGACACCCGCCCTCCACACCCTCACACGTGCACGTGCCGCCAAAGAACTCCGGCAGCTGACTGGCAAGCATGGGCGGGCAGGCGGGTGGGGAGGGAGGGGTGAGGGAAAGGCAGGCGTGAAGGAGGGTAAGGATGGTGCGCTTTTCGTACTTAGTGTGGAGTGGAGGAGAAGCCATGCGCGTGCGTCATGGGAGGCCATGCCATGGCTGCTTGCAAGTGCAGCTTGCATGGGTTACCCGAATCATGGTTCACCCCACGCCCAAAGGATTGCCCACGGAGTTGGCCCCCTTTTCAAAGCATGCCCTTTGCAGCGGGTAGCAGAGTGCCAAGCCCCACGTGCGCCCTCACCTGGGGTCGATGGCTTCAAATAGCTTCTTCTTGTAGTCCGTGCCCAGCACCTGCATGTGTGCACACATAGGCACACACAAGCACACGCACACGCATGCACACACATGAGGAGGAGGGTGGGGTGTTGTAGAAAAGGCACTTTGAAGTCCGCTCAGCTCAGGTAAATAAGATGATGGATGTGTGTGGGGAAGGGCGGGCCAAGTCAAGGTTGGTGTGTGGACGACACGACAAGGTGAAGGGAGGGAGGAAAGCAGCATACTAAGGGTGGCAAAAAACGGGAGAAGCGAAAGCGTGAGGGCGCCAGGGCAGCGGGCAGGGGGAGGGATGGCTGGCAGAGGCAGAGGGTGGCAGCGGGGCGGGGGGAGGGAGGGCAACCGCACCTGGATCTTGGAGGCGGTTTTAGGGTCGAGCATGCCCTTGATGCCCGACCACAGCGACCGGAAGGCAAACCCCGCATTCACCACAAACAGCCGGTTCAGCGTCTGCAAAGGTGCGTGAGGCACGGGCACGGCAGGTTATAGGGACATGGGCAATGGCAGTGGCAGGGGGCATGGTGAGTGGAGATGCAAGTGGGATAGGGAATGAAGCAGCGGTGGGGAGATGAAGGGCATGGGGGGAGGGATGGGAGGGCAGGGGGGGGGGTATGGATGCCATCGCATGCATGCATGCACACACCACCCCAAGCATGTGTCCACCATACCTCGGGGTAGTTATCGCCATCTACTTTCGACACCATTGCCAGAAAGTTCCTGGCATCTGCTGAGAAGTTTTTCATACCCTGCCATGTGCCATGTGGGGTGGGAGTGGGACGATGCGGGGCAGAATGAGGCGCGCCTGAATGCAGCACTGCATACAGCTGACTCCAGAGATCAAGGTGAGAGGCGACGGGAGGCGGCTTCACATGCAGCAGCAGTGACGGAAGCAGCAGCAGCGAGGGAAGCAGCAGCAGCAGCAGCAGCAGCAGCAGGGCATGCAGCAGCATAGGTGGGGGGGCGAACCATTTCAGCGACGTCAAGGATGGAGGTGGTCTGGTCGATGTGGCGCTTGGCAGCGAGGGAGCAGGCGGGGAACTTGAGGGCGAAGGTGCGCTCAAACTCCTTCACGTGGTACTTTAGGAACCGCTCCATCGTTGTTATGCCCAGCACCTGCCCAAACCACCAGCACCCAAGACACCAGCAGCAGCGCCTCCACCAACAGTGGCGACACAAGAGGCAGCAGCACCACCATACGCATGCATCAGCACATACGTGGAGGCATGTCAGGATTCAACGTTTCGCACAATGCCCCATGCGCTGCCACATGCGCATGTTCCATACCCCAAGAACCATATCCCATGCACCACCCCCATGCACCATGCCCCATGCCCCATGCCCCATGTCCATGGGCCACGCAACATGCCCCATGCACCATGTCCCATGTTGCAGATCCCATGCATCACAACCCATGCGCCACCATGTTCCATGCCCCGCGCCTATGCATGCAGCATGCCCCACGAAACACACCACCACGCTCTCGCCACATGCATACACCCAAGCAATGAGTATGCTGCAGCACCACAAGTCACCAATCCACCACCGTTACTGCACGTTTCAACTCCTTCAGCCATCTCTCCAGCCGCCCTCTTTGCCGCCCCTCTCCAGCCATTCTGCCGAAAGTCCAGCTCCGCCCGTCCCAGAAGCGTCAACATGCCGTACCACAATCCTCACAGCGCCCCTCCTCGCCGCCTTCCCACCCTCTCTCCATCCCTGCTAACAGCCGCTCCTTCATCCCCCCTCTCTCCCCTGTGAGCTTGCACCTTGGTGGCGTCGACGCGCCCAATGAGTTCGATGTAGATGGGGCGGCCCTCGCGGTCCACGCCGTGGTGCCCGTGCGGGTACACGCGCTTCACCTCCGCCAGCTCCGGGAACTCGAACTGCATCCACGCGCGGTGGTGCGGGGTGAGGGGCGTGGGGGTGTGTTGGCGTCGGGACGTGGAGGGTGTGGGGGATGGGGGGATGGGGCCGTGGGACGTGGAGGAACGGAGTGTGGAGAACGTGGGGCGGTTGGGGTATTTGAGCACGGGGGCGTGGGGCCATGGGGGCATGGGAGCATGGGAGCATGGCGGGCATGGGATTCATGGGTGATTGTAAGGCATTATGAAGGCACTTACCTTGAGGCATTCATCGACGCCGAACTCGTCGCGCCATTTGAGCATGGCGGCCCACATCTCCGTCGTCTTCTCCATGTCGAACTTGCGCGCCTTCAGAAACCTGCCGTCCCCCCCCCCACAAGGACGGCAGGCGGAGAGAGGGGCGGTGGGAGGGCAGGATGAGGGCAAAAAGAGGGGCGCGACGTGCAGTGTGTTGCTGGAGTACCTGAACAGCATGCGGTGGTCGTTATATTCACCTGAGCAGCATGTGATGCTCATTGGATTCCCCGAATGTAACGTTCGTTAATTTCACCTGGCAGCAAGTTGTGTGTTCCTTGAATTCACCTGTGAAACATGCAGTGTCCTCCTTCAATCCACCTGAACAGCGAGGCCCTTGTTGAATTCACCTGAGGAGCATGTGGTGCTCGTTGAATCTGGGCGGCAGCAGGTTCTTCTCCGCCAGAATCTTCCGCAGCTCGCCGACCTTCGCCAACTCATCCTCCGTCCGCTCGTCCTGAATCTCCTGCAGCTTCTCCAGAAGTTTCTGGTACTTCTTCTTCTTCATCGTCTGTTTGAACTTTTTCAGCATCGGCACTTTGGGCCGCATGCGGCGGTGGTGGTGACCGGGTTCATCCTCGCTGCGCTCCGCGTCATCCTCCGATTCCAGGTCGTGCAGCTTCCGCTCCAGCTTCTGCTCCTTCCGCTCGCGCCGCCGTCTCTCCTTATCGTCGTGCTCCAGCTCCCAGTCTCGCTTGCTCATCCCGCGTCGCAACGTCGGTATGCTGCGCAGCGTCGGGGTCCGCGGCGTGCGAGGCGGTCGCCCGGAGTGAGATGGGGGGTCCGCCATGGCTGCTGTGGAGGTCTGCCTCTCGCGCTTTCTTGCTCAAAACCAGGAAAATAGAGGCTACAATGCGAGAAAATCCGCTTTTCGAAGAATCGAGCTTGCTAACAAACACCAGGAGAGGAAAAGAAACTATCTGTCGGTTGACGCGTTGCTCGCAATCAATATTCTATGGCTAAAAAGTAGTTTTCCCTTTGCTTGGCACTTGTGTATAGGCGTTTGGGACTAGGAGGTCCCTAAGTCCACCATCTAGTGATTATGCGTATATGCCAGTGTGAAAACGGAAGAAGTGAGGCAGCTTTGCACGATAAAGCTGAAAGTACAACTGGAATCCAGTATGGGCACACTATGGGTCCTGATGGACCACGGTCGAAAGTAGCGACGTTGCTATAGTCGGCTAGGGGGACCGCCACAGTCTGAGCGTCAAGTTAGATAGAAGGCGCTGAATGCGCGGCGCGGATGTACAAGTTTAGCAACCGAGAGGCGAGCTATCAGGAATGTAGGACGACATGAGCAGGACAAGTGGTTCTGCGAGCTTGGCTGGGGAGTGGGAGAAGGAAAAGATGGCTGTTGAAGAAGGGGTGACGAACAGAGCAAATTGGGGCGAGGCGGGGAACGGCGGGGTGGGGCGAGAGGAGGCGGGGAGATGCGGGGAGATGCATCGAATGATGGAAGGATGCGTGGGTAGATAGGTCGGAAAGGGAGGTGTGGTTGGGGGAAGGCACGATCGAAGAAAGGGAGTGCGCTACAACATTCAAGGCATGTAGGTGCGGAAGTCGCGGGAAAGCCACAGGCGTTTGCGGGGAGTTGGAGTACCATTAGTGTTGTGCGGACTGCGGAGCCTGGGTCACCGATACGCGCTGCGGACGAAAGGGGCACCCGCCGAACCAGGATTACTTTCAGCTTTCTTGTGACAGCCCTTGATTCCGCTGGTTCGGAAAAGCGCAAACCAATGAGATTACTCCAAAAATATGGGACCAGTTCGTGACCCGAGCCGAAGGGCAGGTACGGAAATAATGCCCGTTGGGACCAGCACTCAGCTCTTAAAGAGAATATTACAAAACAAGGATATCAATTTGAATACAAATTCAACTCAACTTCTGCTACTGCTAGCTTTAGAAGATTCAGCCAGGTAAATCCATCACATCAGAACACTTCGGGGCTGAATGATGCGTGAAGGAGACCATGACCTGTGAAAAAAAAAAAAAAAAAAAAATCATGTGCGTATGCAGTACTGTAAGGCAAACTCAACCATGTGTGCCATTCATGGGCAATATGCAAAGATGAAGTGGAAACGGAAACAGATGCATGCATGCTCAGCTTGAGAGACATACATACCATGAGGTGGAGGAGAAAGACATAAGCAATTAGAAGGAAGGTGCGGCGAGACACTCTCCCAGGCGCAGCAGAAAGACGATCATCCTCAAAGAAGAGGCGGCGGGCCGAGCCAACCAGTGAGGCCAGTGTGCCTGCTGACGTGGCAGGCAGATTCTGGCTCGAATGCGCGAGGCGAGACTTCCGTAATCTGTCGGCGGATGATGACCCGACCTATGGTGGGGCATGATCGGGGGAAGTGGGAAGAGATGGAGGGTGGGGGGGGGGAGAGATGGAGGGTGGGGGGGAAGAGATGGAGGGTGGGGGGGGCTAATGAAAGAGAGGAAGGAAACCTGAATAGACTAGCAAATGTAATCACACAGGGGGGAGGAAGGAGGCCGGAGGGACACCGGAGGGAGAAACACTTGTGATCACTTTGCATGATTCGCTCACCTCCACGTCGCCCTCACTCTCCGCCTTGAGCTTATCCTTCCACCGCACCGTCTCCAGCCCCAACCCCTCCAGTGGGTTGCTCCACCCTGCCCCCCCAACCCCACCGCCACCCCCAGCAGCCCGCGCCTTGGCGGATGACGCCACTGCTGTGCTGCTCCCACTGCTCCCCGCACCATCACCGCTCCCTCTCCTGGTTCCTTCCTTCTCAGAAGCTTCCTCTGCCTTGGAAGCGCGGGCAGCAGCGGAGGCCACCTGCTGTTCCAACTCGCTGATTCTCCTCTGCAGCCGCCGCTCCTCCTCCCCTGCCCTGTTGGACGCCTCTAGCGCTGCCACCTGGCACCCCGGGCAGGCAGGGTGTGAAAAGGTAAAAAATATATGGATTTCTTAAATCGGTCATTTCCACACCCTGTCTGCCAGCCAGGAATGCTCAAACGCCCCTGCCCAAGCACTTGTCCGTCTCACCCTCTTTCCAGAACACTCATCTTCTTCTCATCTCTCCTTGCCCACTCGCCCCTCCTACTGCCCCATCACACTCGCACCTTGAGCGAAGTGCTGTCGCGCTGCATGTCTGCCACCTGCTGCCGCAATGCCTCCACCTCCTTATCTCTCGCCGCCACCGCCGCCTCTGCCTCTGCCCTCCTCGCCTCCGTCTCTGCCAGCTGCTATGCAGGGGGTTGGGGCGGGCGGGAAAGGGGATTGTAATGAATGCCGAGCAGCGGTAGGTGCAAAGGCATGCAGGCGTCTGGGAGGAATGATAGACATCTTTTGAGACGTCTCAATAGGAATGATAGACATCTTTTGAGACGTCTCAAAAGGAATGATAGACACGCCCTGTTAGCCAGAATCGAGCAGGCGATTCACTTATCAACAATTGATCAAGTCAAGAACGAGTTGATTTCGAAGGAGAAGAGGCACGGTTAAGCCACATGTCGTGACTCGCACTCACCTTGCCTTGCAGCTGCTTGCCAGCCTGCCTCTCCCCCTCTGCCTCCGCCATTGCTGCTCTCACGCGCCCCTCCCCCTCCTCCACCTCCCTCCTCAGTCGCTCCACCACCACCCGCTGATGCACCTCCCTTCCCTCCGCCTCCTCCCCCCTCTTCTCCAGTGCCGCCCGCTCCCCCTCCACCTCCACCAGCCGCACCTGTGGTGGCAGGGGGGGACGGAGTCGGGTAAGGGGTTTAGGAGGAGAAAACGGGGGACTGATCGATGCGGAGGATTGTCATTCCTAGAAACAGCCTGTAGGAGAGCATGGTGCTCCGTATCAATCAAGAAACAGACGAGAAGAGTGGAAGCTCATTCAAGAGTCAAACTTGGGTGCAAGGAGGTCATGATCACGGCAGTGCAAGCACGACCTCAACACCTGTGTAACGCATTATCGCTCAGCCCTGTGAGTCTCACCTCCAGAGCTCGCATGTCTTGTCTCATCTGCTCCATCGCCTCCCCCTGCTGCTGCACCTGCTGCAACGCCTCGTCCCGCTCCTCCTCCAACTCCTGAGAACAGGCATGCAGACAGGTGCACACGCGCACAGGGGGTGTTGTGAGGAGCGCAAGATGTTGTTGGGGAGGGAGATGAGGCAGGCAAATGGAGCGTGATGGGATGTGATGGGACGTGATGGGACGTGATGGGACGTGATGGGGAATGGTGGAGCACGATGGGGAGATGTGATTCACCCACAATATCATGCTCCTGGTGGCCACTCATCGCCTGCATCTGCTGACTCACCGACTGTATCCTGCTGACAGCAGCCTTGACAGCGGCGTTGAATAACTTGGCACGGCGCTCCGTCTCCTCCCTGAGCTGCTCACTCGTGCCCTCCGCCTGCTCGCATGCATGCATGCATGTATGCAGGAACGTGGCATGGCACGGTTTGCCCACAACACCCAGGATGAGCAGGCCCAGGTGTAAGAGGAGGTGCGGAGGGGGGATGTGGGGATTAGAACCACAGGAGGAGGCAAGGGGAGCAACAAACGAGAGGGCAAAGCAACAGCCCTCATGACATTACTACTAGTCCAAGCTGCTATCAATACTTTCCTCCTTTCTCACTCCCCCCTCCCCAGCCTCTCATATTCCCTCTCCATCTTCCCCCACCTCCCTCCCTCCCGCCCCACCCCTGTCCTCCCCCCACCTGCGCACGCTGCCTCTTGGCCTCCTCGGCCTGCTGCTCCGCCTCCGCCGCTCTCTGATTGGCCAGCGCCAGCTCAGCCTCCACAGCAGCAAGCCCACGCTGCACCTCCTTAACCTCCCGCTCCCCCGCCGCCACCTTCCCCTTCAGCTCCTCCGCCTCTGCCGCTGCGCTGGCAGCAGCAGCGGTGGCGGCAGAGAGCTTGGCCTCGAGCTGGTGGGTCTCCTCGGCCTGCATGCCCCGCGCACGCGCCTCCTTCCTCGCTGCGTACACCTCCGCCATCGCCTCTGCCACCTTCACCCCGCCCTCCGCTGCCTCCCTCCGCGCCATCTCCAACTGAGGAGCGAGGGGGGAGGGCGGAGAGGGGGAGAGTAAGGGAATGGGCGGGAAAAAGTTTGAGGGACAGTTGGAGTGAGGGTGGAGGGGGAATGGGAGGAGGGGGAGTGAGGAAAGGTGAGCGTGAGTGGTGAGAGGAGGGATGGGGATTGGAGAGCATGGCGGGATGCGTGCAAGGGAGGAGCAAAGGACGCAGATGGGTGCGTTAAGCAGCACGCACCTCGGCCTGCAGGTGAGTGAGCTGGGTGCGAGCAGCCTCCATGCTGGCCTCTCTCTCCCCCGCCACCTCTTCAAGCTCCGCCCTCTCCGCCTCACTCACTCTCACCGCCTCCCTCGCCTCCGCCAGCGCCTTGTTTGCTCCTGCCACCTCTTCTCGCAGCTTCTGCACCTGCTGCTGCGCCGCATCCCGCTTCCTCTCCACCGCCTGGCACGGGTGGGTATGATTCATGGATGCACGGGCACATGGGCATGGCAAACAGGGGCAGATGCGCATGCACAGACACCCAACACAAACACACTCAGGAGGAAGCCACAAATGCCACACTTCCTCAGTCCAAATCCCCCTTCCAACCGACTCCTCAACATGACATACCACCCACCCAAGCCATGCATTCTCCCGCATTGACCATCCCTGAACCCAACCATCCACTGTCTCGTCCGTCTCCCTCTCTCACTGCCATCTCGCCTTGTCTCTCACATTTGCTCCTCGCCTCGCTCTCTGCCCACCTCTAGGTCCTTCTTATGCACGGCAGCAGCAGCGCTCGACATGGCCTCCGCGGCCTCCACCTTCCTTCGCCACTCGCGCCTCTCCTCCTCCGCCGCGCGCGCCATGCCCTTCTTCTCCGCCTCCAGCTCAGCCACGCGCGCCTCCAGCGCGCCCACGCGCTCCTCCAGCTCCCCCATCTCCTCGTCCGCGCCCGCCTCAACGTCCGCCATCTCCGCCTGCAGGCTGCGCGCCTTCACGCGCTCCGCCTCCAGCTCGTCCTCCATCCGCTCCACCCTCCGCGCCATCTGCTCGCGCGCCTTCGCGTCCGCCTCGCGCCCCTCCGCCGCCTCCGCCAGCGACGCCTGCAGCTGCGCGCACAGCACCTGCAGCCGCTCCACCTCCCCCTCCGCCTTCCGCCGCGCTTTCTCCCGCGCGCCGCTCTCCGCGCTCAGCTTCTGCGCCTCCTCGTCTCGCCTCCGCTCCTCCTCCTCTCTCCGCCTCTCCGCTTCCTCCTTCCCCTTCTCCGCCTCCCGCGCTGCCGCCTGCAGCCGCGTCAGCTCGCCCTTCATCCACGTCAGCTCCTCCACGAGCGCCGTCTCCCTAACAGCGCTCACCTCCCGCTGCTGCGCCAACTGTCGCCGCAGCGACGCCACCTCCCGCCCGCTGCTCTTCCGATCCTCCTCCTCCTCCTCGCTTCCCCCTTTTCCCACCTCCTCGCTGGCAACCCCAGCAGCACTCGCCGCCGGGCGATCCCCGCTTTCCCCGTCCGCGGTTCCGCCTGCCGCCACCTGCGCGTGCCCTCCCGCCTCCCCAGGGCCATCATCCCCGCGCGCTAACCCAATCTCTGGAGAACCCTCGTCTCCACCCAGTCCCTCCCCACCCGCGCTCTCCGCCTGCCCATCCGCAGGAGCCACCCGTTCCCACCCTGCGGCCGCCTCACCCGCGTCTCGACCCTCCACCGGCAATTCTGATCTCTGTTTCCCAGCTTCAATGGAAGCGGGTGTTCCTGATTCCGTTCCCCTGGCCGCATCGCCACCCCGTCTCTCTTCACCTGCCACGTCATCCCTCTCACCGACGGGCGTGTCCGGTCGCTCTTCCGCCGCGCGCGGCTGCAACATCTGCGCGTCCGTTTCGTGCGCGGGCTCCAGAAACGACATGAGCCCGCTGGACTCTGGCAGCGCAGCGGGAACCGCACCACCGCTACCGCTATCCTCGCTATGAGACGACGCGGTAACGGGAAGGTCGTCCTCGCGAGGCGACGGCGAGGAAAGGCTCGTGTTGGGGGCGACAGCCAAGCCTGGGTGGTCCGAGGATTCCCCACGTGGCTCTATGTCAGGCGAGGGCTCCAGCGCGGAGGCGGAGGGATGCGACGACAAGGGAATTGGCCCTTCGGATTCTCCTGACGCGACTCGCTCGTCAACCTTCACTTCTTCCTCGTCGTCCTCCAGACCCCATCCGTCCTCCTCCTCCTCTTCCTCTCGTCCCTCTCCTTCTCGCTCGTCTCCCGACTGCACACCAACCAATCCCAAGATGCCCGACCCGGCTAGCCGAGGCGCAACGGCTTCCTTGATCATGCCTGTCTCGCGGAGCGCATCGCGGCCCAGCTCCTGCAAACCTTCCTTCACGACCGCTTGCAGGCCCTGAAACCCCTTCCACATGGCAATCTACTATTTTTTTCGAACTTCTAACACTCATATAAAGCGCGTGGAGCTGTGGCCTGGCTACTTCGGTATTCTGGAGGAGAAACAGGCTGTTGCTAAGTGACTAAACTGGTGTAATAGGCTGCTTGTCATCCCAAGGGCGGGGAGCATTCAGTTTCACGATTCTGCCATAGTTTCGGATGGACCTCATCAACCACTGAACCATCTCTAAGGTCTGTTATCCAGAACTGCTATGTATAATGCGTCATAACGCGGATGAACTATACGGAGAAGTTTGCATTTCTATAGCTGTATTTCGGTAGATAGTTCAAGAACTTTAGGTTGGACATCTAATCAATTTAGGTACAGCATCGCTGGAATTCATCGGCCGTGTGCCATTGGTCGTCAAACATACAGCCAATCCGTGCGCGAGGCTGGGCTGGTTTGCTCCACCTGACAGCGTGACGTCAGCGATGAATTCCGCAGCAGGGAAGTGGTTTTCCAAGGGAGAGGCCCGCGAAACCTTCTTCGCGGGGCTTTGCCGAGGGCCGCCTTGACAACTCCTCTCGCCTGGGAGGTTACACGTGGGGGAGTTTTCTGCGCGCTGACACATGTTTCATAGGTTCGGTTCGGTGACGCGCGGGATCCTAAGAGAGCGAGCATGCGGGCGCAAAGATGCAGAGCAGTACCAAGCCAAGAAAGGTGCGCGCGGAAGACGTGACACAAGGAAATCCACCGCCCGATGAATGTGTCCTGCTACGTGCCTCATGTGAGTCGTCGGTGACTGGTGGTAAGAATGGTTATGAACGTTTCCCAGAGTTTCTGAACTGTGTGAGTGATAGCAAGGACTGGAATATGGGATCGTCCGCCTGCACACGGAACTTGGAAAACTGGGGGATGCTGCTGTTGACTCCTCTCCGCTCCTAAAGGCGTATTCCTGCACTTCGGGTCATGCGCACTTCGGGTCATCCGAGATTGTGGGATCCAATCGGAAAATTGAAATGCACCCCAATCTCTTGATTCCGAATTTCCGATTGGATCCCACAGTTTTCGGAAGGCCCGAAGTGCTGATGACCCGAAGTCCAGGAATACGCCCTAACTCAGTCCAGTCAAACGCTGAGGCCAACCCTAGCTTCTCGAATTTTTACTCCACCACCGCTGCCTTGTCATTAGTTTTAGTTTTCAGTGGTGCTTGTTATCTACACTTTTCCCGTTCTTCGCGCATCCTTCCTCGGTCGTTTCGGTTATAAGATACGTTAGCGTCACGTACAGATATCTCTCTTCTCTTTTGGACTTCATTTCTTGTAAACACCACGATTTTACCTCACTCCCTGTGTTCTCCCATCCATGGCTGCCCCAGCTGCTCCCACTATGCAAGCAAAACTGGTGAGCTACAGAGACAGCAGCGAGCCGTTATTTAATGACAGCGTCTTTAAACGGAAGCAACAGTTCGCCACCGCAGTTGGTTTTCCTTACAACATCCATCGTTCCTTACAGGGACAGTTATCATTGTCGGTTTGTCGTGGTGTAGCCGTCGAGGACGCTCTCGGCAGACCCTGCTCCTGTCCCCCAACTTTTCTAGAAAGCCATTGACAGCCCACGGAATTGCAAGCTAAAATAGGCGACAGCTCATGGACTCCAGAATTTCAAAGAATTTACTGCTTTGACAGTCTAGAGTGCACAGGGTAACCCCCTGCCATCTCGCCATCTCCAGTCGACGACATCCCCCCCTTCCCCCCCCCTCTCCCCCTCTCTTTTCACTCTCTTCTTCGCTATCCTCATTGCTCTTCTCTTCGCTCCCCTCATCGCTCCCCGCTCTTCGCTCTCCGCGCGCAGGTCCTACTGGGCGACATGGGCGCGGGGAAGTCGTCGCTCGTGCTGCGGTTCGTGAAGGGTCAATTCTTCGAGTACCAGGTGCGGGTTGCGCACGGCACTCGGACACGCATAACTGAGAGGCTCGTGCTGCATCCAAGTTCCGTGTGTCTTTTCGCTCCGTTACTGTCCGTCGCATTCTCTTCCGTCTCTTACCCACCCTTATCAGGCAGGCCACCCTCACCCGCCTTGTTCTAGGGCGTGTCTCGTTCCTACAATCCCTACCCACCATCTCACTCCAATCCTATCTTTCCGCCCGCCGTGCCCCTCACCGCAGGAGTCCACCAATCGGCGCGGCGTTCTTGACGCAGACGGTGGCGGTGAGCGACGCGGTGGTCAAGTTCGAGATCTGGGACACGGCCGGGCAGGAGCGCTACCACAGCCTCGCGCCCATGTACTACCGCGGGGCCGCGGCCGCCATTATCGTCCTACGATATTACCAGCACCGTGAGCCGCTGGGCCTGGTTTTATTGCTCTGCTGCTGTTGCTGCTGCGGCTCTGGTTTCCAGGAGTCGGGGCTACTTTCATGTGAACCTTTTTTTGTGACCTACTTCGCCCTCCCTTTTCTGGTCGTGTTGCTTGCATGTGTTTCGCAATGCCGTTCCTGACTTGTATGCGCATGGCTTATGGGATGCATGGCATGTGTGGTGTGCGTGATACGCGCTTCTTCAGGATTCATTCGCTCGAGCCAAGAAGTGGGTGCAGGAGCTTCAACGGCAAGGTACGTGTTTACACTCAGTCAGCTTGCAATGAGCACCGCTGAGTGCCCAAGTTGATGCGCCGAGCATGTCACCACTTTTAGCCCCTTTCCAGTCTCATACTCCATAACTCTTTCCCCTGTCTCTGTGCTGCATATCCCTTTCCCCGTTTCCCCGTACATCTGTAGCATGTCTCCCTTATGTTGTTCCGTTCTCGTCCATCATCAAATTTCCCATCATCCGTTCCTAAAGCTGTACCCGTCCTCTCCCTTGTCCTTGCGCGCCCTGCATACGCCACCCTCAGGTAACCCCAACCTGGTGATTGCCCTGGCAGCGAACAAGACGGACCTGGAGGCACAGAGGAAGGTTTCTGAGGAGGTGAGTGTTAGAGGGAAGGGTAGAGGACGAGGGACAAGGGAATCAGGGTTCTGGATGGGATGTTCTGGATGAAAGATGGGGATACCTGCTTGTCATAAGCATGAATTTGGCGAATTGTTGTGTCCGTGTTTGTTTTGCTGTATATTATTTCATGTCAATGTCACAATGGAACCATGTGTTTTTATTAACTTTTGACCATTGGTTTTGGGCATGGAATCAGGAGGGAAAATTGTATGCTGAAGAGAATCGGCTCTATTTTCTGGAGACTTTCCGCCAAAACAGCCACGAATGTGAACGAACTTTTCTACGAGATAGGTATGCAGTGCCATGCACATATCTCCAGTGTCAGTGCCGCTTCTCTGTGTTTAGCATTTGTGGTTTAACTGCATATTTACTGCATCTCTGACATTTCAATGGTATGTGTATGCAGCACGAAGGCTACCCAAGGGAGCTCCCCCCACAGCAACCTGTGGCATGCAGCTTCACAACAGGCCAAACCAAGCCTCTAATCCAAGTTCCTGCTGTTGATATGTTTATACAGCTTGCATTGCTGCATGTATTGCTTATTTCCACAAATTGTATAGGTTCTCTGTTGATAATGAAACAATGCAGGTCATAATGACTTACAATGCGGTCTTTTCCTGCCACTGGGAGTCTTGCTACAGTACACCTATTCTGTGCATATACTTATTCTGATAGTGGAATAGTACAGTCCAGCCATCGAGGTCTCCACGAATACAAATGCACAGCCGTAGGTGTACCTCTATAGCGTGTCTGAAGTAAAACGTCGACGAATGTACAGTTTCGTCGAGGAATGTCGGCGAGTGCCAACCCTCGGATCGAGCGTTCAGACCGTCAGGATTCCTCGACATCCCTCAAAGTTTCGTCGGGAAACGTCGACGTTCACTTCAGACACGCTCTTAGTATATGGTAGTCGTGCGGAACGCACAAATTCCTTGACGACGTGGCGAAGTTCTGGGTTACAGCCGTCAGTTACATCAACGAAAGGTACGCCGGACCATCATTGCATGTCTGAACCGGCCGGCTTACGAGCTTGGGAGCAGGGTTTTTGTTCAGGAAGGATGTACCCCGTAATTGGTGTACTCCTGAAATATTTGTGGCTGCACCCAAGAAAACTGGATTCTCGAATATCGGAGCCTGTGCACTTCAGAGTTGATTGGGACAGTCACGCACTTTTTCTTAGCTTAGCTAAGAAATCAATTTTTTGGCACGTAGAATCGAATTTTCGAGAAATCGTCTGGGCAGAACGCTGTTTCCAAAGAATGTCCAGAGCGGTGCCTTTGTAATTATGATAGATGTCGGAGCTTGAACGTAAGCCGGTCTTCCACCGCTCACTTCTCGATGTCGCAGCTCGGACCGTTGTCCTCAATGCGGTTTTTCCTATCATCCGTCAACTAGCGGCAGTGATTCCACAGAAATCGACAAAAGGAAACATTTTCTTTCGCAACCTCAACTGATGTTTACTGTGGGCTCCTGTCACCCGACCAATGAGCTTCATTCCGGCAGAGGAGCCGCGGACACGTGTGGGGTGAGACGACACAAGCTGCGGGGGCCGACAGCGCAGAACTCAAGCCAGCCAGACCAGCACCGAGCCAAGCCTCCCCTCCAGCCCCAACAAACCTACCACCCCTTGCATTCGGCTCAAGGTGAGCAAGATATATGGGAGGTTCATTTCTTTGGCGATCATTCTCAAAATTCACCTCCTCTGGTTCGTTGAGCCCTACTGCTCTTCGTCGTTGCGAACCTTAAACTAATAGCACTCGCCTAAACGTTCTTCATAGTTTTTTCTAATCTCACTATGATCGACATGGACCGCCACCAGCAGACCTTCAGCCGCTGCCGTCGTGCTGAGTCTTTGTGCGACAACTGCTGTATGCCTTCCAAAGATGGAAATGAGTCTTTAGAGCTTTCTAGCAATTCTGTCAAGAAGATCGCGTTTCAAGAGCTTTCTTATCAGTCTCCTGCATCTTTAGAGTCCGCCGCGTGGGTGGGCAGTCGAGGGACGGAGCCATGGCCCCGCTGGGCGGGTGGGTGCTGCCTTTGAATCCGAGCCGCTCTCGTGGCATTTCGTTTTGGGTGACGAGATCCTCCGCGGCGGCGTCTGGAATAGTTCGTCGATCGCACCGAAGAGACGCGCGTCTTGGGAAACATTCATCGTCTGGCCAAGATTTCCCCACTATGGCGTGCAAGACGATCCCGAGGAAGCTTCTCCGAAGCGAGGAGGATGTGGAAATAGCACAAGCGGAGATTGCGGGTCTGATGCATGTGAGCGGCGGGGAGGGGTTGCAGAGCGGTGCAGCTGCGAGGTGTGGTTCGAGGACAGAAAGGGGTACACATTGTCGTAGAACTACCTGCCAGTGGCGACAGAGTAGAAAGTCGCCCTTGCACGAAATTTTGGGCTCACATTTCATACGATACGTTTTTGACCTCGTATTACTAGGAGTATGCCTCCACCTGGGGACCATGGACCACGGAGGCCAACGGAACCGAAGCTCTGCAATATCCCTTAGCATGCGAGCCATTGAAATGTACATATGTTATGAGTTGTAAAAGAGTGCGCAGGCGTTAAACGAATAACGAGGCTGTGACTGAATGAATCTGAGAATAGAATGAATGCACAGACTATTATAGGACTAGCCTAACCAGGAGGAGGAAACCTCGGGAGGCGAGGTTGGGTGCAAGTTCGGCGATGGAAATGCCGAAGGCGACGCGAGAAGCCTCGGCAGCGTTGAAATCGGCCTCCTCCTCTCCGAACGTGCCAACTCCGAAAATCGGGTTGTACGCGAAGCAGTCAGCCCCGATAAGGAATTCGGGAAAATTCCTTACACTACCCCCCCCCCCCTCTAAGAAAGGCGGTCAATGTCTGCAACACGCCTGCGCACCAAGTAATCACCAACAAGTGGCGAGGTATCGAGCGAGGCGGAAGACACCCACGTGTCATCCTCACTGATGCGATCAGTCCAACGAATCAGGAAATCCACGTGTCGGCCAGCTGCGTCAAGGTTGAACCGATGAGCCAGGATTTTCGAAGGGTCGAAGTGTCGGTTCCGAAACAGGCCGTGCTGTTGGGGCAGCTTGTTGTACGTGCCGATGTCTGTTGTGGCTGGCACGAATTGCGAAGTAGGCTGACGTGGAACGGCGTCATGAATTCGCCCAGTCGTCGGGGTAGCAACAACTTCGCCTGGTGACAGGTTGTCACCATCTTGATAATCTTGAACGGTCCGCAAAATCGTGGCGTAATTTCGACGGGCCGGGCAGGTGCAGGTTCTTCGTGTCAAGTAGCACTAATTGCCCAGTGGTCAAGACGAGTTCCCGTCGTAGAAGGTCCGTGTATTTGCGGGAGGTGATATTCGCCTTGCGGATTGCGTCGGCGGCTTTTTCTCGTGTTTCCTGGAGTTCCGTCACAAAAGTTTGTGATCGGGGGACTGGATTGTCGAGAGTAGTCGCGTTGGGAACCGTCGGGTCCATCCCGTAATTCAAGAAAAACGGGAGTGATTAGTCGTCCTTGATGGTGCGTTGTTGAAAGCGAACTCCAACATCGCGAGAAAGTCTTCCCAGCGGGCGGGGTCGTGGGCAGTTGTCCTGATTAACTACTCCATGGTCTGATTGGTCGCTCGGTTTGACCATTGGTTTGCGGGTGGTAAGCCGATGAGAACTGTAGCTTCGTGCCGTATTGCGCCCACGTCTCCTTCCAGAACTTGGATGTGAATTTTGGGTCGCGGTCGCTGATGATCGCTGAAGGGATGCCGTGTGAGTCGCACGGACCGTCGAGATGAAAGTCGCGCAGTTTCTTCGGCTGTGATTGTCGTGCGGCATGGTGCGAAGTGGTGCCATTTTCGTGAAGCGGTTGACGACGACTGAGAACAGCGTCGTTGCCCGTCGGCCCAGCTGGCATCCCCGTGACGAAATCCATCGTCACTTGCCTGCCACGGTCGTTCGGGTGGCTCGAGGGGTTGCAGCAGCCCAGATGGACGTTGGCGTGTCGATTTCATAGCTTGGCCACACCCTGCATGAGGACACATATCGCTGCACGTCGTTAAGGAGTCAGGCCAATATATCGACGGTGCAGTAATTTCTGGGTTTTATCAACCCCAAAGTGTCCGGAGAAGTTCGAATCGTGGACCTCCTGGATGAGAAGTTCACGCAGCCAGCCGGTAAGCGGGGACCCAAATCCGGCCGGTTCCGGCTTTAGGTAATAATCCCCTTTCTGCGTCTGTGGCCTGCTGATGATTCCCGGTCGTGAAGAATGGGTCCGTAGAGTAGCCGTGGGTGAATAAGTCCTGTAAGTAGTGGTCTCGAATGGGTGATGAGTACTGCCAGCGGATTGTACTGTCGGTCGGGTGAGTGCGTCGGCGATGTTATTCGCCCCTTTTTTGTACGTGATGCGGTAGGTGAAATGGCTCTCCATGTAGTCGAGCCATCGAATCTGTCGTGGGTTGAGGTTGGGTTGGGCTCGTAGGTACTGTAAGGACTTATGGTCTGTGCGAACAGTGACGTCGGCGCCCACCAGGTAGCATCGCCATGGTTTAAAGGCGTGCATAATGGCGAGCATCTCCTTGACGTGGATTGGGTAGTTGCGTTCGACTGCGTGCAGCTTCCGTGATTCGTAGGCGATCGGCTGCAACCCGTTCCCGAAATCTTGGAGAAGCACAGCTCCGATGGCGAAATCCGAGGCGTCGGTTACGACTTCGAACGGCTTCGATGGGTCGGCGATGCGCAGCACAAGAGGGGATACGAGAAAACTCTTGAGTTCCTGGAAAGCCGCTTCTGCCTCCTCCCCCACACAAAATTTGTGTCCTTGTGCAGCAGGTCGGTCAGCGGGCCGGTTATCCCCGCCATATTCGGGATAAAACGCCGGACGTAATTCACAAATCCGAGGAAACTCTGGAGTTCCGTGACGTTCGTCGGG